TTGAAGGACTGTCCTATCTTCTCTTGGCAAAATCTTGCAGTAACTTTCTTTTGTATCTTGCTGGTCCAGTTTTGACAATATATTGTCCGAAATTGCATCAAGGACGATTTCTTTACCCAAATGGCTAGTTTTGCCATAAAGAAAACAAACTCCCTGAAGAGTTTCTTCAATGCCCATCATCTTCTCTGAAGTAGATTAGTGCTGCCAGGAGCAGGCAAGTCTCACTGCTATGAAAAAGCTTTAAGTTATTAAACATATTAAATTCTATATTCTGTAGGTCTTTAAAGTGTCTGAAGACCATCTATCTATCTATCTATCTATCTATCTAAATATATCTCTGTTTGATCTTGAAAACATAACTAACATGACTATAAGTTTGATAATTATAAGTGACTATTAACCTGTGTTTCTTAATTATGCTAAAAAGCTTGCAAGGATAACTTCCAAGGACTAGAAATGAACATTATATTTAAATGTTAAATGAGCTGCATAGATACAGTACTTTAAACAAGAGTAGAAACACATGTAGAGTATGTTCTACAAAAACAACCTTAAATTTGTATCAATATACAAAAATCCATACCAATGTAAAATCTTTAAGACTTGTAGTTATTTTTTTAGTTTAAAAGTAGATTCAAAAATAAATAAGTAAATAACAAAAAAATCAAAATACAAAAAGTAGATTCAATAATCTACCCTTTTATCCTATCATTTCTATATATTCCCCTTTTTTCCTTTAGAAAAAGATCTTTAAATTTAACTCTTTTATTTGGCTTTTTTCTGACTATGACCAATAACAACTATAACCAATCCCCCTTAAATGCTAATAAATATCAATAACCTGACTTTTGGGAATGTGAACATCATTTTCTAGACTACTTCCTGTTGTATGGGGGCACTGGTAATCTTTGGGAGAACCTTTAAAAAAATCAGAATAATTGTAAGGTTTTGGCTGGAGTATTTTGTGAAATTAGATCCTCTTAGCAGCCTTGAAGCTGTTCTAGATGCTGGATCACCTAGGCATCTGTTTTTTGTTTGTTTGTTTGTTTTTTGTTTTTTTTATGTCTAATCTTCTCGTTCTGAAAATACATAAACTTTTAAAGATAACATACATTACAAGTATGGAATATGTGATGAGCACAAGTCAGTTAAAGATGATTTTTGTTTTATATTTTAGCAGGCAAAATATACATTATGTGTCTTGTAGTTCTTCTACGTTATTTTTTTAAGGTCGACAGCCAGGGTTTCATGGAGTATAACCAATCAAACTTGATTCTCTTTAACCTGAAATAAATTCATAGATTCTCATATTCTGTGGAAATAGAAGCATAGCCTCTTCCATAAAGTAGCATACCTTTTGACTTAAACTTTGAATTTAAGACATTTTCAAAATATATGTGTTGGCTTATTCTAGCAGCTTTCATAATCAAATGTGTCTTAGTAGCTGTTGTTTCTTTGTTAGAAATCAGAAAATCTAAAGACAACACAATAACATACAGAATCCAGACTCTCTGTATATTCTTTACTTCCTTTTTAAAGACTTTATTATTTTAAAACTATGTATTTTTTCATGTCTGCACCTTCTCTTTTCTCTCTGAAGCCTATGTACATTTCCAAACACACTATACCCTATTTAGAGGTTTCTTTTCCCACTTGAATCTGTCTATATTGCATATTTGTCATCTTTTTCTGACCACATGAGCTTTTAAGCAGTGGACTAAGATATCCACCTCTGCTGTGGTGGCTGGCTCTGCCACACTTGGTTCCCTGAGAGCTGAGCTTCAGGGTTGAAGTACTGAGAAGAGACACATTTACCAGCCAAAATCTGGCAAGTTGTTGGGTCCACTCTACCACCAAGTCACATGCTAACCACTACTCATGAACCCCTTAAATATTTGGTAGCAGGAACTCCAAAAAGAGCTGTATCTATACCATTAGCACAAGCAGGGAAACCATGTCTTAAAGGAACCATACTTCTGCTTCCTGCCACCAAACAGTCTACATGAAATAGTTGGTTACCAAGAAGCTATGCTTGACTCCATTTTTGTGTGTTTAGAATCCTTTTATAATTTTCGTCAGGTCTTTTTTATTTAATTTTTTTCATTTTACAGGCCAGCCCCAGTTTCCCCTCCCTCTCTTTTCCTGCTTCCCCCACCTTCCCCCATCCACTCTTTCTACCTCCTCCCTGTTTACCCAAGAGATCTTAAATATTTCCCCTTCCTGAGGCCCTCCATGTCCCTCTTAGGGTCCTCCTTTTTACTTAGTTTCTCTGGAGTTGTGGATTATAGCCTGGTTATCCTTTGCTTTGTATCTAATATTTATCTGAGTGAGTACATTCCGTGTTTGTCTTTCTGGGTCTAGGTTACCTCACTCAGGATGACTTTTACTAGTTCCATCCATTTGCCTACAAATTTCAGAATGTCACTTTTTTACCTCGGAGTAATACTCCATTGTGTAAATGTACCACATTTTCTTTATCCATTCTTCAGCTAAGGGGCCTCTGGGTCGTTTCTGGGTTTCTGGTTATTACAAATAATGCTGCTATGAATATAGTTGAGCAAGTGACTTTGTCAGGTCTTATGAGGAAATTCCAGCCCCGTATTGGAATGACATTTGTAGACTGAGTTTTCCTGTGCTGGCAACTGTTCGTGAATAACCATTCAGAAACTTAATATTAATTGTTAATGCTCAGTCAATAGCTCAGGCTCACTAGCCAACTCTTATATTTAAATTAACCCATTTCCTTTCCTTTCCTTGCTGCCATGTGTTTCATGACTTGTTACCTATTTTGTACATGTCCCACTTCCTCTGATTCTGGCTAGCGATTCCTCACTCTCCTGCTTCCTAGCATCCTCCTAGTCTGGCTCTCCCACCCAATCTCTTCCAGCCCAACTCTAAGCCAGTTAGTTCTTTATTAACCCACGAGAATAATACACACTCACAATCTCACTCAAGATTCACGCAACTTTGAATGGTTTTCATCCGATTGCCAACCATAGCCATTTTGGGTGTGGAATTTCCCTCTGTATGCTATGAATATTTTTATTGCCATTGATTAATAAAGAAGCTGCTTTGGCCTATGGCAGGGCCGAATATAGGTAGACAGGAAAACCAAACTGAATGCAGGGAGAAAGAAGGTGGAGTCAGGCAGACACCATGTAGCTGCTGAAGGAGAAAGATGCCAGAACCTTACCAGCAAGCCACAATCTCATGGCGATAAACAGATTAATAGAAATGGGTTAGTTTAAGGTATAAGAGATAGCTAGGGATACCCCTGAGACATTAGGCAAATGGTGCTTTAATTATATAGCTTTTGTATGATTGTTCGGGTCTGGGTGGCCAGGAAATGAACGCGCAATCTCTAGTTACATAATGGCACCCAATGTTCAGCAATATACTTCCACATAAAGACAAAGAAAGCAAAAAAAGGGGAAGCTTCTAGGCCCACAAAAAAGGGAGTCAATTGGAGGTTCTTGGTAGCTGTATTTTTCAGATAGGCTTTTTTGCTGGTATTGAGCAGAGATGCAGTTTCTTTAAGAACCGGCTTCCTGGTTAGTGCTGACCGCACAAATGGCTTTGGCTCTTTCTAGAAACTGGGGAAATGGTTGCTGGGTATTTCTGGAGATCCAGTGAACTCATTGTAGCAGGGAAACTACCTGACCTCTTTATAGCCTCCTCTCTCAGGAGACAGTGATGGAGACCTGGGTTTCCAAATATCAGCATTAGATCAGATGTTGTGTACAAAAGCCCCTGAAAGAACCATATGTTCCTTTCACTGGTGGGAAGCAATGTGACTAGATGCAGGGGGGAGGGGCTTGGTCCTTGAAAAGTTTCTGCACCCCCATAAGACTCTGCACAGATGCAATAATTATGACCAAATCAAACTGAATTAGACAAAGCCTAGGTTTGATAGATACAAATGCTCCTGATGGCTTTTCAATCCTCCAGAGAGGAGATGGGAAAGGAAGACTGGAAAACCCTGTATTTGTTCTCTGGGAGATAGTTTAAATACCCTGTGACCATGTCTTGAGTATCTCTGGGGAGGAGTCACCGTTTGGCAGGCTTTCTCGGGTGGGGGTGGGAAGACAGAGTCTGGACTGAGGCAGCTCCAGGGGAGGGGGCTTGGGCTGAAGCCCCCACCTGAACATTTCAGACTCTTTGAATAACTGGATGCCAGGGCATAGGGTGTATCTCTCATCCAAACAAGCCAGACTCTTTAGATATATGGATGCCAGGGGCTGGGGTGAGCTTCCATCCAAACAGTCCTGCTTCTACTTAATATGCCAGGTTGAGTGGATGGGGGATGGGTTGAGGGGAGGTAGGGGGAGCAGAAGGAGGGGATAGAGGGAGAACTGGGGTTGGTGTGTATAATGAATAAAAAATTTAAAAGATAAAAAAAGAACACATCAATATTGCTAATACTGTTAGTCAGTTTAGTATTTCAGCTTTTTTTATCCAGTGTCCACCCGCAAACACAACCTCCTTTGCTCCTCCTGTCTGCGAATCTTGCTATTTCTTTGGTATGTGGCTCCTCTCTCACACCTTGAAGCCCCATCCAGGGCTGGTCTACTTGGGTCATCCTTAAGGCCACACGTAGTCTTCATTCAAGCGAGACAGGGGACAGAGGTAACTCTTTCTTCCGAGAAAGAGCAAAGCAATTCTTTCATTGACAAGTAGGTTCAGAGGAAACAAGTTCACAGTTCTCCCGAATAACTATTTCACTACCTCATCCTGAGGTTCAAGACCCTGACTTTGGCACAAGGGACTTTATGAACTTAGAATCCAGTCTTTGCTTGGAGTTCTGTCTTTCTGAATGTAAGGGCCTGGGACATGCCTTTGTTGCTATCTGAAAATACGGCTGCAGGACTGGGTGTCTCTTTCCTTAATACTTGGGATTCTGTGTCTAAGCATGTCAAATTTCTATTTTTTTCCTTTTCCTTCTTCTTCTTCTTCTTCTTCTTCTTCTTCTTCTTCTTCTTCTTCTTCCTCTTTTTGTTAGTTTGTTTGTTTCTCAAGACACGGTTTCTCTGTGTAACCACCGTGGCTATCCTGGAACACCTCGAACTGACAGAGATCCGCCTATCTCTACCTTCTGAGAGCTGAGATTAAAGGCATGCATCACCAATGCTTGGTTCCTGTCAATCTATTAGTAAAAAGTACTAACAGCTACCAAATCCCATCATCCTTAGAGTTACTTTTTTTCCATCCACTAGCAAATATACCACTTTGCCTATAGCTCACACAGTCATTAGCGCCTTTCTACAGGCTAATAATATTTGTTTTTTGAGCTGGCTTAACACACAAGGGCCTATTGACATGTCACAATCACCTTTTGGTTGGACAGTGACCCAACTCTAGAATCCTACCCTGAGGCTTTGCTTCTAAGACCAGTCATCTTAGGATGAGACTCCTAGAAAAAGATTCAGAGTTGAGGCCTTTTTTTTGTCTTATTTGGTGAGTTGTTTGCTCTTGAATAAGGATCTTTATAATCCAGAGTAGCTTTATAATCCAGAGTAGCCTATGTATCCCAGGCTGACATCACACTTACAGCTATTCTCATGCCTCAGCATTCCAAGGGCTAGAGCTACAGGAGTGTATCACCACATAAGTTGAAGTCTTGGAAGCTTGTGGTTTATTGTAAAGGACTCTCAGAAGTAGGGACAAGGTAAGCAACTTATGCACAGGGGGAGAGCTAAGCCAGTTGGATTTGAGGAGCAGAGAGCAGCAATCTAGCACACCCTTTATTCCAGTTGGAGGCAGGGGGATGGACCACAAGACCTGGAGGTGTGACTCCCAGTTGCAGCTGTCTGCATGTGATCCCAGAGAATCCCCTGGAGATGATGGCATCAGTAAAGAACGTTCACTGCTGCAGATGGGAAGACCTGACAGGAAAAGGACATGGTACCAGCACACCAGCAGCATCTGTGACATCAGTCAACTGTTTTCATTTGTGTCCTGAATAGCAAACACTTCCTTGAAATTCTTCTCAAACTCAAACTCCAGTCTAAGTCCCATTTCACCAAAGTTGAGGTCCTAGAAAACAACAAAGGCAAGAATGATGGTGCTCATTAGTAGTGAGACATCTCCTTCTTGGCGTTTCTACCCTCTGGCGAAATCTGTGTACTTCATGGTCCAGCCACATGTTAGGAAACAGACTTTTATATTTCTAAGAACTGGGCCTAGGAGAACATTAGAAGCAGAAAATCCTCTGACTGGAGAGATGACCCAGTGGGCTAATATTTGCCACACAAGTGTGAGGACCTAAGTTCAGATCCCCAAACCCACAGAAACCTGTATGTGGTAGTGCACATCCATAATCCCAGCCTCCACAGTGGTGATTGACAGGTTGCCATGTATCAAATCAGGTGAAATGTGAACAAAGCCCATGGTTGTTCTCTAACTTGGTCCTCATGTGTACTATGACACAAGCAGCTGCAATTCCACATGAACATAAACAGACTCAAGCACACATATACAACACACATATCTATATGCACACACAAAGATTTAAGCTAGGAGCTGAAGAAATGGCTCATTGGTTAAGAATATATACTGATTTTACAGAAGACCCAAGTTCAATTCCCAGCACTCATGGCATGGAACTGTGATATCAGTTTAGGGGATCTAATGCCCCTGGTCCATAGGCACCTAAAGTCACAAGTACTTACACTGTGCCTTCACGCGCGCGCGCGCGCGCACACACACACACACACACACACACACACACACACACACATTTTCTTCTAGATAGGATTTCTCTATGTAGCACTGGTTGTCCTGGAACCTGCTCTGAGATAGCCTCAGGCTCAGGGATCTGCCTGTCTCTGCCTTCCATATGCTAGGATTTAAATACTGTATTATCATGCCCAGATTAAACACACAGACATATTTTTTAAACTATTTAATAGAAATAGATTCTCATGTGTGTGTATATAGAAGGATAGCTTAACTTTCCTCTGTAGACAGGCTTTGAACTCTCTGATGCTGGGGACCTTTATGGTGTCTAGATATCTGCTAGATCTTATACTGAAAAACAAAACAAAAACGAAACAAAAAATACAGCTCACTGCCAGATTTTTGCTTTTTTGGGTTTGTTTGTTTGTTTGAGATAGGTCCGATAGTGTAGACAAGGCAGGCTTTCAATATAAGACAATCCTCTTAATTCAGCCTTTGAAGGCTGTAATCAGGTCATGCCCCCACTGTGTCTGGCACTCTCAAACTTACTACTTATGCTACGTTCTTACAGGAAGGTGTGGGAAACTAGACTTTCCAGGTAGCAGAAACTGAGGGAAAGAGTAACCCCGTGGAAAGAAGATGCAATGCAACCAGAGAGGGATGCTGACCTTGAATGTGGTCCTGTGATTGTGGAAGATGAGCCTCATGTCTTGCGCAAACTCTTCCACGTGGGAGTAACCTCTCTCTCTCAGTTTTTTCTTGATGATGTCCAACCACATAGCTTTCTGCACAACCTCGGACGTCTCTTTGAACTGGTGACAGAAATAGCAATGGAAGAGTGGCTGATATGGTTCAGCTTACCTTCCACAGAATGTCCACAGAAACCACAGAGTCTGAGGTCCAGGGGGATTTCATCACAATCCTACAAGTATCCCTCACAGTCATATGGTATCATGAAAGCCATTGATGAAGGGGCTTGCCACCATTACTTACGTAATAATAATATGGCATCTTGGAAAAAAAGGAGCTCTCGGAACAGCAATAGACTCTCAAAAGGACAAACTCACACTTCTGCAAGAAAAGGAGAAACAATCAAAGTGACTTAGAAAGGCAGAGTCCATTCCACACCAGAGCCATAGCCCTACCTGCACCTAGAGGAGTGATAACCAGAGCCGCAGGCCCCAGCTGCACCGATTGAAGGAAGAGATATGTAGACAACAGTGTAAGAATACACTCAACAACATAAAGATCAATACAACACCACCAGAAACTTGTGGTTCTACAACAGGAAGACCTGAATAGTTCAACAAAGATAAAGCAGAAGAAAATTATCTTTAAAATAACTTCATGAAGATAACAGAAGCCCTTAAAGAGGAAATGAAAAATTCCCTAAAATAAATGGAGAAAAAACAAACAAAAAAATTGGAAGAAATCAACAAATCCCTTAAAGAAAATGAAGAAAAAGCAATCACACGTGTGAAGGAAATGGTTAAAGACTTAAAAACTGAACTAGAGGCAATAAAGAAAACATAAACAGAGGGTATTCTGGAAATGGAAAATCTGGGCAAACAGTTGGGACCTACATATGCAAATATAAACAACAATGCAAGAGATAGATGAGAGAATCTCAGGCATTGAATATGCTGTAGAGGAAATAGATTCCTTAGTCAGAGAAAATGTTAAATCCAACAAATTCCTAACATAAAATATCCAGGAAATCTGGGACACCATGAAAAGACTGATCCTAAGAATAATAAGGATAGAAGAAGTCCAGCTCAAAGGCACAGAAAATATATTCCACAAAATCACAGAAGAAAGTTTCCCAATCTAAAGAAGGACAGGTCAATGAAAGTACAAGAAGCTTACAGAGCAGTAAATAGATTGGACCAAAAGAAACAAAAAACAAGTCTGCTCGACACATAATAAATTAAACACTAAACATATATAATAAAGAAATAATATTACAAGATGCAAAGGAAAAAGGCCAGGTAACATATAAAGGCAGACCTATCAGAATTACACAGAACTTTCAGAACTTTTTAATGGAAACTCTGAAAATCAGAAGGTTCTAGACAGACTTCTATGGAAACTAAGAGTTCAGAGAGGCCAGCCCAGACTACTATACACAGCAAAGCTTTAAATCACCATATGTGGAGAAAATAAGATATTCCATGACAAAACCAGATTTAAACAACACCTATTCACAAATCCAGATCTACAGAAAGTACTAAAAGGAATACTCCAGCCCAAGGAAATTAGGTACACCCATAAAAACACAGGCAATAAATAATCCCACACAAGGAAATCCTAAAGAAAGAAAACATACACACAATACCACCGCCAACAACAAAAACAAAAAATAACAGGAACTAACAATCACTGGCCATTAATCCCTTAATATCAATGGTCTCATCTTTAGAAAGACATAGGCTAACAGAATGGATATGAAAACAGAATCTATTCTTCTGCCACATACAAGAAACATGCCTCAAATTCAAGACAGGCATTACAGCAGAGTAAAGGGTTGGGAAAAGATTTTCCAATTAAATGGCTCTAAGAAACAAGCTGGTATAGCTATCCTAATATCTAACAAAATAAACTTCAATCTAAAAGTAATTAAAAGAGTTAAAGAAGGATATTTCATATGCATAGGAGGGAAAATCCATCAAGATGAAGTCTCAGGTAGTAATCGGAGCAACGGGGCTGTGTCCCCAGCACCCCGACTGCCTGCTAGCTTATGCCCCGAAATAATTACACAGAAACTGTATTCTTTTAAACACTGCTTGGTCCATTCTGCTTGGCCCATTCTGCTTGGCCCATTAGCTCTAGCCCTTACTGGCTAATTCTGATATCCCGATCAACCCATCTCTAATAAACTGTGTAGCTCCGGTCTTACCAGGAAAGATTCAGCATGTCTGACCTGGCGGCTTGCTTTGTCGTGCGCGTCTGCCCGGGAGAGAGGAGCATGGCCTCTCTCTGAGCTCACTTCCTCTTCCTCCCAGCATTCTGTTCTGTTTATTCCTCCCACCTATGTTTTAACCTATCAGGGCCAAGCAGTTTCTTTATTGCTTAACCAATGAAATCAACAGATTGATATATGACACTCCCACATCACTCAGTTCTGAACATCTATGCCTCAAATACAAGAGCACACACTTTTGTGAAAGAAGCATTACTAAAATTGAAAACACACATCAAACTCCACACACTAATAGTGGAAGGCTTCAACATACCACTCTCACCACTAGACAGGACTGCCAGACAAAAACTTAATAGAGAAATAGAGGAACTAACAGATACTATGACACAAATGGGAATTACAGATATCTATAGAACATTCCACCAAAATACAAAAGAATATAAATTTTTCTTACCACCTCATGGAACCTTCTCTAAAACTAACCACAAACTCAGTAACAAAGCAAACCTCAACAAATACAAAAAAATTAGAATAATCCCCTGTAACTTATTGGATCACCAAGTATTAAAGCTGGAATTCAACAATACTAATTGCAGAAAGCCCAAAAACTCATAGAAATTGAACAATCATCAACTGAGCACTGCTGGGTCAAGGAAGAAATAAATTAAAGACTTCTTAGAATTCAATGAAAATGAATGCACAACATACCAAAACTTATGGATCATTATCAAAGCAGTGCTAAGAGGAAAGTTCATAGTACTAAAAGCCTACACAAAGAACCAGGAGAAATCTCACACTAGTGACTTAACAGCACACCTGAAAGCTCTAGAACAAAAAGATGCAAACTCACCCAGGAGTGGTAAATGACAGGAAATAAAATTAGGGACTGACATTAATAAAAATAGAAACAAGGAAGACAATACAATGAGTCAATGAGACAAAGAGTTGGTTCTTTGAGAAAATCAACAGGATAGACAAACCTTTATCCAAACTAATCAAAAGGTGGAAAGAGAATATCCAAATTAACAAAATCAGAAATGAAAGGGGGAACATGACAACAGACACTGGGGATTTCCAGAAAATCATCAGGTCATACTTCAAAGACCTGTACTCCACAAAATTGGAAAATCTAAAGTAAATGAACAATTTTCTGTATCACATAGCAAAATTATCAAAAATTATCAAAAGTATCACATACCAAAATTAAAGCAAGACCAAATAAACAATTTAAATACACCTATAACCCCTAAGAAAATAGAAGCAGTTCACAAAAGTCCCCCAACCAAAATAAGCCCAGGACCAGATAGTTTCAGCACAGAATTCTACAAAAATTTCAAAGAGCTAATGTCAATACTCCTCAAATTGTTCCACACAATAGAAAAAGAAAGAACACTGCCAAACTCCTTTTATAAGAGTACAGTTACCCTTATACCCAAAACACACAAAGATGCAACTAAGAAACAGAATTATAGAGCAATTTCCCTCATAAACATCAAATGCAAAAATACTCAGTAAAATACTGGCAAATGAAATCCTAGAGCACATCAGGAAATCATCCACCATGATCAAATAGGCTTCAACCCAGAGATGCAGATACAGTCCAACTTATGAAAATTGGCCAAGGTTTAAACAAATTGAAAGAAAAAATGACATGATCATCTTATTAGATGCTGAAAAAGATTTCAACAAAATCCATCACCCCTGCATGATAAATGTCTTGGAGAGATCAGGGATACAAGGAGCATATGTAAACATAATGAAAGCAGTTGACAGCAGGCCAACAGCCAACAAAGTAAATAGAGAGAAACTCAACATGATTCCACTAAAATCAGAAACAAGACAAGGTGTTCTGCTCAATATAGTACTCAAAGCTCTAGTTAGAACAATAAGACAACAAAAGGAGATCAAGGGGAACAAATTGGAAAGAAAGAAGTCAAACTCTCACTTTTTGCAGAGGATGAAATAGTATATATAAATGACCCCAAAAATTCTACCAAGGAATTCCTACAGCTGATAAACATCTTCAGTAATGTGGCAGGATACAAGATTAACAAACAAACAGACAGACAGACAGACAATAGGGCTCCTAAATAGAGATGATAAATGGGCTGAGGAAGAAATTAGAGAAACACCCTTAGCAATAATCACAAACAACATAAAATATCTTGGGGTAACTCTAACCAAACAAGTAAAAGACCTGTATGACAAGAACTTTATATCTTTGAAGAAGATATCAGAAAATGGAAAGATCTCCCATGCTCTCAGATAGGTAGTATCAACATAATAAAAATGACAATCTTAACAAAAGCAATCTACAGATTCAATGCACTATCCCTCAAAATTCCAACACAATTCTTCAGAGAACTCAAAAGAATAATACTCAACTTCATATGGAAAACAAAAAACATAGGAACACCAAAGAAAAAAACCTGTACAAGAAAGAATCTTCCGGAGGCATCACCATCCCTGACCTCAAACTCTACTATAGATAGAACTAGCTATAGCAATGAAGCAGCTTGGTATCGGCATAGAAACAGACAGGTGGAACAACAGAATCGAGTTGAAGACCCTGACATTAATCCATGCATATCTGAACACTTAATTTTTGACAAAGAAGTTAAAATTATACAATGGAAAAAAAAAGTATCTTCAACAAATGGTGCTGGCATAACTGGATGTCAACATGTTACATACTAATACTAATAGATCCATATCTATCCCTATGCACAAAACTCAAATCCAACTGGATCAAAGAACTCAACAGAAATCCAGTCACATTGAACCTCATAGAAGAGAAAGTGGGAAATAGTATTGAACACATTACCACAGGAGACTACTTCCTAAATGTAACATGGGTAGCACAAATGCTGAGAGCAACAATTAATACATAAGACATCCTGAAATAGAGAAGCTTTTATAAGGCCAAAGACATGGTCAATAAGCCAAAACATCAGCCTATAGAATGTGAAAAGAGATTCAACAACCCCACATCTGACAGAGGGCTGATCTCCAAAATAGACAAAGCACTTAAGAAACTATACATTAAAATACTAAAAATTCCTAATTAAAAAAAAAGGGTATAGATCTAAACAGAGAATTCTCAATAGAGGAATTTCAAACAACTGAAAGACACTAAGGAAAAGTTCAACATCTTTGGCCATCAGGGAATGCATATCAAAACTCTGAGGCATCATCTTAGACCTCTCAGAATGACTAAGATTAAAACCACTGATGACAGCTTATGCTGAAGAGGATGTGGAGTAAAGGGAACACTCCTCCATTGCTGGTGGGAGTGTAAAGGGTACAACTGCTTTGCAAATCAATACAGTGTTTTCTCAGAAAATTGGAAATCAATCTACCTCAAGACCCAGCAATACCACTCTTGGGTATATACCCTAAGGATGCACACTCACACCACAGGACATTTGCTCAACTATGTCCATAGAAGCATATTCATAATAGCCAGAACCTGGAAACAACCTACATGCACCTCAACCTAAGAATGAATAAAGAAAATGTGGTACTTTACACATTGGAGTACCTTTCAGTGCTAAAACAAAACAAAATAATATCTTAAAATTTGCAAAGCAAATGGATGGAACAAGAAAAAAAAACATCCTGAATGAGGTAATCTAGACCTAGAAAGAAAAGCATCACATGTACTCACTCATAAGTGAATATTAAACATAAAACAAAGGATAACCAGCCTACAGTCCACAACCCCAGAGAAGCTAGGTAGCGAGGAGGATCCTTAGAGAAACATATATGAATCCCAGTGGAAAGGGGAAATAGACAAGATCTCCTGAGTAAATTGGAAACTTGGAGGACAACGGAAAGGGTGAGAGGGAAGGGATAAGGGGAGAAGGAGGGAGAGCAGAATGGAATTGGATGGTAGAGTTGGGGGAAGAACAAAGAGGGAGAAGAAGTAGAGACATATCTTGATAGAGGGAGCCATTATGGGGCTAGCAAGAAACCCAAATTCTCAGGAATAAACAAGGATGACCCTAGCTAAGATTCTAAGCAATAGTGGAGAGGGTTCCTGAACTGGCCTTTCATCTGTAATCAGACTGATGACCACCTTAATTGTCATCATAGAACCTTCATCCAGAAACTGATGGAAACAGATGCAGAGATCCACAGCTAAGCACCGGGCCGAGCTCCCAGAGTCCAGTCAAAGAGAGGGAGGAGTGATAAATTGAGCAAAGGGGTCAAGGCCAAGATAGGGAAACCCACAGAAACAGCTGACAGGGCTAGCAGGAGCTCACTGACTCCAGACTGACATCTGGGGAACCTGCATAGGACTGAACTAGGCCCTCTGAATGTGGGTGACATTTGTGTGCCTTGGGTAGTTTGTGGGGCCAGTGGCAGTTGGATCAGCATTTATCTCTAGTGCATGAACTAGCTTTTTGGAGCCCATTCCCTATGGAGGGATACCTTGCTCAGCCTAGATACAGGAGGAAGGGCCTTGGTCCTGCCTCACTGATTTGACAGACTTTGTTAACTCCCTGTGGGAGGTCTCTGAGGAGGGAATGGGAGTAGGGTGGGAAGAAGGTGGGAGGAGCAGAAGGAAGAGAGTGAAGGGAACTGGGATTGTTATGTTAAAAAAAAAAAGTTTTTAAAAAATAAAAAAAGAAAGACAGAGTCCATACACGTTCCCAAGAGGAAGGAACCAATGACTCAGACCCATCTGGAAGTTTCTACTACAGGAGTGTCTCTCGGTTACAGACTTACAAAGGCTGAGTTAGTTCTCTGCCAATGGGTTGTGCTGTGACTTGGAGGAGCAGGCTCCATTCCTGCTGTTCTGTCCCCAAGCCTGGGGAAAGGAGAAAGTGTGGAGTTCACAAGGGACTCACCAATTGCTCCTGGGGCGCCATCCGCCTCTGCAGTACCTCAGATTCCGGATGAGTCTGTTGGCTTCCTAAGGACTGCATCCTGCAGAAGATGCAACTCCATGGTGTCCTGAAAAGTTGGACATGAAGTCAGCAGGGGACAAGACCTGAAAACAGCCACTGTTCTATGCCTGCCACTGTGCTTTCAGAATGGCTGATGGTGTCATCTGGGAGGAGGTCCCCAGGCTCTGAGGGACTCCACGTGGGATCTTAAGCTGCCAGTGCTCTTATCACAGTTGTGGCAGGAGCCAGTCCTTGGAAAAAGTGGGATTTATAGTGAGTCGGGGAAACCACATTTCCCAACACAGGTTTCTGGGAGCACAGAGAGGCCAGGCTGTTAGATCTGTACACAGAAAATGATCATCCACAAATTTTGGGAACCTTAGACCTTGATTAGTCCATTACAACCTGGTGAAATGTGGATAGCGGTCATATTTCCTTCTTTGATGAATCAGTACAAAACAGAAGAACTTGGCATGTGCCACTATCAATCCTTTGGACAAGGGGTTCTGGTGAGCAACTTTGAAGAAAAGGCAGTAGTAGTTAGTGTGTAGACAAAGGGCCCAGCCTTTGTATCAGGAGAGAAGTCTCCCCTAACATAGAGAACATCAGCCTCTTGCTGACAGCATCTAGAAACAGCTCTCTGTATCTTCCTCTTTGGTATCTATTATTAAGAGCTTTGTTCAAGCATCAAAGAGAGAGGTAGAGCAGCGGTCACCCCTACCCAGAAGTGTCTGAGAGAGAGAGGAAGCATGCTGGTGGCCCCTGGACCAGGCCCAAAAAACATCACACAGAGAGGGAGCAAGTCAGCAGTCACAGACCCAGGCAGGAAGATTCAGAGAAATGGGAATCATGATGCTGGTCCTGGCCATGGCCCAGAAGCCATCAGAAAGAAAGGGAGCACAGCAGTGGCCCTGGCTCTGGCCCAGAAGAGTCATAGAGGGAGCATGGTATCTGTCATAGCAGCCCAGAAGCACTGACAACAGCAGTTTATGGGAACTATATTAAGAAGTCCCTCTGGGAAAGATCACTTTCCCAGTGCCACCCTCTGTATGAGAAATCCCACTGCATCAGCAACCATCAGAGCCACAGACCTGCCTGCACTTGTAAAAGCAAGGATGAGTGACCACCCGAGGCTCTGCTCTGCTTGTTCCTGGAGGAGCTATCAACAGAGCCACAGCCACCAACTGCATGAACTGGAGGAAGAGGAACCCCCTGAAGCACAAATTCCATCTGTACCGATTGGAGGAGGAGATGGGTAGACAACAGGGCAAGAATACGCTCAACAACATAAAGAGCAATACAGCACCACCAGAAACAACAAGACGTTCTGCAACAGCAAGACCTGAACATACAACAGCAGATGACACAGTGAAAATGACCTTAAAAATAATTTTATGATTGTGCCGCACGCCTTTAATCCCAGCACTCGGGAGGCAGAGGCAGGCGGATCTCTGTGAGTTCGAGGCCAGCCTGATCTACAAGAGCTAGTTCCAGGACAGGAACCAAAAAAAACTACGGAGAAACCCTGTTTCGAAAAATCCAAAAAAGAAAAAAAATTATTTTATGGATATTATTGAGGCCTTTAAAGAGGAAATGAAAATTTCCTTAAGTAAATGGAAGAAAAGGCAAACAAAAAATTGGAAGAAATCAACAAATCCCCTTAAAGAAAACCAAGAGAAAGAAAACAAACAGATAAAGGAAATGGTTGAAGAATTCAAAATTGAAGCAGAGGCATTAAAGAAAACACAAATCAAGGGTATTCTGGAAATGGAAAATTTTGGTAAACAGTCAGGAGATACAGATGCAAGCATAAACAAGAGAATACAAGAGATCAAAGAGAGACTCTCAGGCACTGAAGATACAATAGAGGAAATAGATTCATCAGTCAAAGAAAGTGTTAAATCCAACAAATTCTTAACACAAAATACCCAGGAAATCTGGGACACCATAAAAAGACCAAACCTAATAATAATAGGGATAGAAGAAGAAGTCCAGCTCAAAGGCACAGAAGATGTATTTAACAAAATCATAGAAGAAAACATTCCCAGTATAAATCAGGACATGCCTAAGAAAGTAAAAGAAGCTTCAAGAACACCAAATAGACTGAAACAAAAAAAAAAAGTTCCCTCACGACATAATCATTAAAACACTAAAAATACATTATAAAGAAAGAATATTAAGAGCTGGGAAGGAAAAAAAAAAACAAGTAACACATAAAGGCAGAACCACCAGAATTACGCCTGACTTCTCAGTGGAAACGCTGAAAGCCAGAAGGTCCTGAACAGGTGTTATGCAAACACTAAGAGACCATAGAGGCCAGCCCAGACTACTATACCCAGCAAGGCTTCCAATCACCATAGATGGAGAAAACAAGATATTCCATGACAAAACCAGATTTAAACAATACCTATTCATAAATCCATTTCTACAGAAAGTACTAGAAGGAAAACTCCAACCCAAAGAATTTAGCTACAGTCACAAAAACACAGGCAATAAATAATCCCATACCCATAAATCCCAAAGAAAGGAAATACACACACAAAACCACCAACAACAATAAAAACAAAAAATAACAGGAACTAACAATCACTGGTCATTAATATGCCTTAATATCAATGGACTTAATTCACCTGTAAAAAAGACAGGCTAGCCGGGCAGTGGTGGCACATGCCTTTAATCCCAGCACTCGGGAGGCAGAGGAAGGCGGATCTCTGTGAGTTCGAGTCGAGGCCAGCCTGGTCTATAAGAGCTAGTTCCAGGACAGGAACCAAAACCCTGTCTAGAAAAAATCCAAAAGAAAAAAAAAAAGACAGGCTAACAGATTGGATATGAAAACAGAATTCATCCTTCTGCTGCATACAAGAAACATACCTCAACTTCAAAGACAGACATTACCTCAGAGTAAAGGGTTGGGAAAAGATTTTTCAATCAAATGGTCCTAAGTAACAAGCTGGTGTAGCTATCCTAATATCTAACAAAATATACTTCAACCTAAATTAATCAAAAGAAATAAAGAAGGACATTTCATATTCATAGCAGGAAAACTCCAACAAGATAAAGTCTCCATTCTGAACATCCAAATACAAGGGCATCAACAATTGTAAAAGAAACATTACTAATTCACAGATCAAGCCCTGGTAGTGGGTACTCCACACTCACCACTGGACATGTCTCCCAGAAAGAAATTTGACAGAGAAAAAAAGGAACTAACAGATATTATGACTCAAATGGACTTGACAGACATTTACAAAACATGCCACACAAACACAAAAGAATATACATTCTTCTCAGCATCTCATGGAACCATCTCTAAAACTGACCATAAACTCGGTAACAAAGCAAACCTTAACAGATACAAAAAAAAAAAATACAATAATCCTCTGTATCTCATCGGATCACCATGGCTTAAAGTTAGAATTCAACAATGCAAATTGCAGAAAACCTACATACTCATAAAAACTGAATAATGCCCCATTCATTCACCACTGGATCAAGGAAGAAATGAAGAAAGGAATTAAAGACTTCTTAGAATTCAATGAAAATGAACATTCAACATACACAAACTAATAGGACACTACAAAAGCATTGCTAAGAGGAAAGTTCGTAACACTAAATGTCTACATAAAAAAAAATTGGAGAAATCCCATGCTAGCAAATTAACAGAACATCTGAAATCTCTAGAACAAAAAGAAACAAACTCAACAAAAAGGAGTAGATGCCAGGATATAATGAAATTGATAACTAAAATCAATAAAATAGAAACAAAGAAAATAATATAAAGAATCAATAAAACAAAGAGTTGGTTCTTTGAGAAAATCAACAGGATAGACAAACCCTTATCCAAACTAACCAAAATGGAGAGAGAGAAAAATCCAAATTAACAAAATCAGAAATGAAAAAAGGGACATAACAACAGACATGGAGGAAATCCAGACAATTATTAGGTCATACTTCAGAAACCTGTATTCCACAAAATTTGAAAATTTAAAAGAAATGAATAATTTTCTGGATAGGGACCACATAACAAAAGTAAACCAAGACCTATTTAGACCGATAATCCCTGAGGGAATAGAAGCAGTCATTAAAACACTCTCAACAAAAAAAAAAAAAAGCCAGATCCAGTGCAGAATTATACCAGAACTTGAAAGAAGAGTTAACACCGATACTCCTCAAATTGTTCTGCACAATAAAACAGAAGAAATATTGCCAAACTCCTTTAACAAGGCTACAGTTACCCTGATACCCAAACCACACAAAGATACAACAAAGATAGAGGACTACAGAACAATCTCCCTCATGAACACTAATGCAAAAATATTCAATAAAATACTGGCAAACCAAAGCCAAGAACGCATAAAATAATAATCTACCATAACCAAGTAGACTTTATTCCAGAGATGCAGGATTGGTTCAACATATGGAAAACTGAAAGAAAAAACCACACAATCACCTCATTAGATGCTAAAAAAATCCAACATCCTTGTATGGTAAAGGTCTGGAGGGACCAGGGATACAAGGAACATATGTAAAGATAATGAAAGTAATTTACAGCAAGCTAACAGCCAACATCAAATTCAATGGAGAGAAACTCAAAGTGATTTCACTAAGATCAGAAACAAGACAAGGCTTTCTACTCTCTCCATAGCTCTTCAATATAGTGTTCAAAGTTCTAACTAAAGCAATAAAGACAACAAAGGGATATCAAGCAGATACAAATTGGAAAGGTAGACATTAAACTATCACTTTTTGCAGATGATATGATAGCATATATAAATGATGCCAAAGAACTCTAACTGGGAATTCCTACAGCTGATAAACATCTTTAGTTATGTGGTAGGATACAAGATTAAGTCAAAAATATCAGTAGCCCTCCTATACACAAATGATAAATGGACTGAGAAAGAAATCAGAACAATAGCATCCTTCACAATAGCCACAAATAATATTAAATATCTTGAGGCAACTCTTACCAAACAAATTAAAGACCTGTATGACAAGAATTTTAAGTCTCTAAAGAAAGAAATTGAAGAAGCCATCAGAAAATGGAAAGATCTCCCATACTCATGGATAGACTGGATCAACATAATAGAAATGGCAATCTTACCAAAAACAATCTACAGACTCAAAATTTCAATACAATTCTATAGAGACCTTGAAAGAATATTATTCAGCTTCATATTGGAAAAACAAAAAACTCAGGAGAGTCAAAAGAATTTTATACAATAAAGGATTTTATGGAGGCATCACAATCCCTGACCTCAAGCTCTACCATAGAGCTATAGTAATTAAAACAGCTTGGTAGGCATAAAAACAGACACAAGGAACAATGGGATTGAACTGAAGACCCTGACATTAATCCACACACATATGAACACCTGATTTTTGACAATGAAGCCATAAAGGTACAATGGAAAAGGACAACATCTTTAACAAATGGTGTTGGCTTAACTGGACGTTGACATGTAAAAGATTGCAAATAAATCCATATCTATCACCTTGCACAAAATTCAAGTCCAAGTGGATCAAGGATCTCAAGATAAAGCCAATAACATTAAACCTGATAGAAGACGTAGAATACAGCCTTGAATGTGTTGGCACAGGAGACCACTTCCAAAATAGAACACCAGTAGCACAGATACTGAGAACAACAATCGATAAATGGGACATCCTGAAACTGAAAAACTTCTGTAAGGCAAAGAACATGGAAAACAAGACAAAACAGCAACCTACACAATGGGAAAAGGATCTTCACCAATTCTACATTTGACAGAGGGACTGGTCTCCAAAATACATAAAGAACTCAAGAAACTAGACAACAAAATGCCAAATAATCCAATTAAAAAATGGGTCAAGAGCTAAACAGAGAATTCTCAACAGAAGAAGCTCAAATAGCCGAAAAGACATTTAGGAATTGCTCAGCATCCTTAATCATCAGGAAAATGGAAAACAAAATTACTCTGAGATACCACATTACACCTGTCAGAATGGCTAGGATCAGAAACACTGATGACAGCTTATGTTGGAGAGGATGTGGAATAAGGAGAACACTCCTCCACTACTCGTGGGAATGACCACTTATACAGCTACTCTAGAAATCAGTATGGCAGTTTTATATAAAACTGAAAATCAATCTACCTCAAGGCCCAGTGATATCACTCCTGGGCATATACCCAAATGATACTCAATCATACCATGAGAACAGTTGCTCAACAATATTCGTAACAGTATTATTCATAATAGCCAGAACCTGGAAACAACCTAGATGTTCCTTAACTGAAGAATGGATAAGGAAAATGTGTTATATTAACACTTTGGAGTATTTCTCAGCTGTAAAAAAAAAAAACCATGACATCATGAAATTTGCAGGCAAATGAATAACCAGACTATAATTCGCAGCTCTAGAGAAGCTAGAACTTTCTTCCAGTAATTAATGCAGATGCAGATATCCACAACCAAGCTCCAAGCCAAACTCTGGGAATCTAGTCAGAGAGGGAGGAGGAAATACATGAACAAGTGCCACATCCACGACTGTCTCGCCTGTGTGACAAAATGCCTCTCAGGTGGTGGCCGCCTCAAAATGAGGGGCTCTTGCTTCCTGGAGCTTGACCCCCGGCGGCTCCCTGGCAGTCTGCTAGAGTTGTGGTACCTGATTAGCCTCAACGACCTCGTTCACTTTGTTCCTGGCGATGGTTTCTTGCATTGGCTCTGCTATCTTTTTTTTTTTTTCTGTTCTACTTTTCTCTTGACAAAAACTTAATCTGTTCAAGGAACCAGGAAACATTCCCAACGGCTCCTTAAATACAGAGGAACTGATGTGTCAGTCCCCTCCCTTGATTCAGGCCCTTAATGTTTTTTTGTGTTTTTTTAAATTTTTTAATTTATTTATTTATTAAAGATTTCTGTCTCTTCCCCGCCACCGCCTCCCATTTCCCTCCCCCTCCCCCAATTAAGTCCCCCCCCCAGCCTGAAAAGCAATCAGGGTTCTCTGTCCTGTGGGAAGTCCAAGGAACCCCCACCTCCATCCAGGTCTAGTAAGTTGAGCATCCAAACTGCCTAGGCTCCCACAAAGCCAGTGCGTGCAGTAGGATCAGAAACCCATTGTCAGGCCCTTAATGTTATGATTAAGACTCTGGCTCACTCTCTGGGGGAATTTACAGATACCCTAGAACAGAAAGAGCTCATGATAAGAGATTTGGTAGAAGATGGGTGAATTATGAAGGAAAATGTATGGAATGGCATGAGTTACCATTTATGGAGAGGCCAGCCAGAATGAGAAACCCCTGGTGCATTTTAGATAGGAAAAAAAAAGGCAGGCTATTCTTGATAACATGAAGCCAGCCATCCAATATTGGAGCAAACCCTGGGGGTGGAATCCTGAAGAATGGTGTTTGGGTTACCTTGGTTACCTTGAGGGCAGATATGATTTAGGGTCATGAGAAAGCGCAGTTGGTTAGTGGTGTGAGACAAATTTCAAAGAAAAGCTCTGCCTACCTGGCCCTAACCACAAGACTTGCTTAGAATAATCAATTGTCTGTAATCATTTTTCTATGGAAGCTTTGATGTCTGCCAACTTCCTTCTGTAATCTCTTAAAAGTGATGTTAGAATTTTAGTAAAATTTCAGCAGATTCAAATCTCATTAGAGTTGTGCCTGTCTGTCATTCGCCGAATCCTGGGTTCTCCTAAGCCTTCACCCCTGTTCTCCCTTGGTCTTCGATCTCCAAGAGAGTCAGTCCACGACAAACAAGGGAGATTAAAATCATGATAGAAAAAAAAAATCTACAGAGACAGCTGAACCAAGCTCGTGGAAGTTCAGAAATGCTGTACAGCTGTTGATCCTCAATAGGACCAAACTAGGTTCTCCATATGTAGGAGACAGTTATAAAAACTTGGGATATCAGAGGGGCCCCTGATAGTAGGACCAGAATCTATCCCTGGTACTTGAGCTAGCTTGTTAGAGCCCATTCCCTATGAGAGGATGCCATGCTCAGACTTAACATATAGGGAAGGGGCTTGGTCCTGCCCCAACTTAATGTACCAAACAATATTGATGCCCCATAGGAGCCCTTACATGTTGGGAGGAGAGGATAGAAGGTGGGCTGGGGAGTGAGGTGGGGTGAGGAAGTGGGGTTGGAGAGGAAACTTTGGTTGGAATGTAAAATGAAATTTAAATAAATAATGAATAAACAAACCCTTGCTCACCCCCCCCCATATTGAGGCACAAACTCACAATCTACAAGGGTAATGTGTGTGACAAGGAAAGGGTGTCTAGGAGGACACAGAGAAGGAACCACATCTCACTCACATCTCAGCCTCCACCGTGGGGATGTGACACTCTTCATGGAAGGCTCTGGAGCAAGTGTCACAGCAGAAGAGCATTCCTCCATCCCGACACACTTCACATTCATCTGAGTTCTGCATGTAGAAAGTAGAACTTTTACATCACTGAGAGATGAGACCCACAGAGCCACTACTGTGGTAATCCTCAACGTGAAGCATTTACATGAACCTGCAGGGGCATGGATGCTTCTTCCTGGGACACTAAGGAACAACTTGGAATGTAAATTGCAGAACAAGACTTGGTGCTCTTCAGTGAAGTTTGATTGAAGGGAGCCATGAACCAATCCCAAAACAATCTTCCTTGGGAAACCAAAGATCCTGACACAGAAAGACTAGCAACAAAACAAGATTTTACATAATCTGAAAATTTTTTCTATCATATACAAAAAATGAGTTTCTGAAATAAAATATTAAGTCCATTTTTCCACATAGCAATGGCATCAACTCATCAAAGGGAGATGTACTGGGAATCCAATTTGATGGAGTAAACTAAGAGAATACCACATCCTGTAACTGAGCCATGAACATACAATGAATTGAAGAAAGGGTCTGCAGAGGAGTGTTTTAGACACTGGGTTCTGTACCTAGAGAGCCCTGAGCCTGTGGTGGGGACTCTGAGAAGTCAGGGTATGAGTACAGATGACCAGCCAAGTGGGTATAAAGCAAAGGCTGTTGGAATCTTGTAGAAGATTCCACATGACCCAAGAAAACGTACATGTAAGGCCTGTAGTCACTTTGGCAATTGTGCATTAAAAGATGAGTAAATATGGCTTCACTTGGGAAAAGAGAATCCAGGTGTCTCAATACAGATGTTAGCATACAGAATCTGTGGTTCTGGTAACCATACCGGGCTGTCTGACACACACCAGCCATCACCAGAAAGCTTAAATGATCCTGTATGAGCTGGGAAGTTGTCATGTGACACCGAGATTGACAAGAAAGATTCCAGAACCCATGGCTCTGAGCAGATGAAGAGGCCCTAGCAGGATTATGAAAGTGGAAATGGATCGTGGCTTCTCTTTCTCTGAGAATCCTGTTCTTACTCAAAAGAAGAGGCAAGCGCCCCTGTTGCTATGAAACATTGCATTCAAGAATAAAAATGGTTCTGTGGGTTGGACAATTCTATCTCATTTGAGTCATTCAGAAAGAGATACTCTTAGAATTTAGAGGAAGGTAGAGAATATGGACTTTGAAGTAGTCATTGACCAGGTTGGGAGGTAGTTTCCTTCTAGGAAACTGAGTGATTGATATGTCCCAGTGGTTCAGAGTCCAAACCAGCGAGACAGCAATGCAAATGACAAATAATACACAGACCTGGAGATCAAATTCTCAGTGAGCTATGAAACTCAGTGTGGAGTGTTTTGCGGCCCATTGACGTCTATGTCTGTGATTTTTTTATCATCTCCAGCTCAAAGAAGTCAACACTAAAGGAAGACCTGACCTTACACACAGCCTGAGTGAAGACACAGGCTGAAAACATGAAAAGAAATAGTAGAGGAAGGAAGAAGAGGTGACTTTATGTAGGGATAAGTCCCGCCCCTTAAGGGGCGTGTTCGCCTCGGGCTAATGTCTGCCTATAAATTTGGCAAGCAAGCTCCGAGCTCTCGCTTCTGCTTTCCTGGTCTCCGCGGGAACGGTGGTTCTGTAAGTCTATTTCTACATTAAAGCTATATATATATATATATATATATATATATATATATATATATATATATTTAAAAAAAAAAAACGTGGGGCTGGAGAAATGGCTCAGTGGTTAAGAGCATTGCCTGCTCATCCAAAGGTCCTGAGTTCAATTTCCGGCAACCACATGGTGGCCGGGCGATGGTGGCGCACGCCTTTAATCCCAGCACTCGGGAGGCAGAGGCAGGTGGATCTCTGTGAGTTCGAGACCAGCCTGGTCTACAGAGCTAGTTCCAGGACAGGCTCCAAAGCCACAGAGAAACCCTGTCTCAAAAAACAAAAAAACAAAACAAAAAAACTTTAAGTATGACAACCCAACCGAGACACCATAAAATAAGAAGCTTTGTGAGTAAAATCACGTGATGAGAACTCACCTTTTTTCTCTTGCCATAAATTCGTGGAGAATTGGGGAGAAAGTTTCTCTGCAAGATAGAAGGATCCGAACATGTAGTTATCTGTATTTCAGAGGTGTGAATTGGGAATTGAACCTCCTTCCAGAAGTTCTGCCTGGATCTTCCATTCAGACCCACGTTATCTGACTCCATTCCCCTCTCATTGCATACAACTTAGAGACAGATGCTGGCCTGTGGCAGCTGGAAAGACGTCACATCTCTCTTCCTCAGTTCCTGGGAATTTTCCCTCACAATCCGTTGTTCAACCATTATACAATCTCTGTTCCCACCAGACACAATTCAGCTTGTTCCACACCAGGACTAGGCAGTTAACACACACGTGTTTCATGCATATAGGGTGTTACATGCTCTTATGAATTTGGAGCACATGACAGAAAATGTGGTTGTGGGGAGATAGAAGAGAAAGTTCATGGAAGAAGCCTCTCTCTCTCTCTCTCTCTCTCTCTCTCTCTCTCTCTCTCCTCCCCCCCCCAAAGGTTTCTTTTTTTTTTTTTTTTTGCTGGTTCATGGTTTTAATTCTAACACTCACAAGGCAGAGGCAGGCAGATCTCTATAGTTCAAAGCCAGCCTGGTCTATGTAGCAAGTTCCAGGACAGTCAGGGCTACATAGACCTCGTCTCCAAAAAATAGAAAATAAAGAGAGAAAGAGAGGGAGAGAGAGAGAGAGAGAGAGAAGAGAAGGAAGAGAAGAGAAGAGAAGAGAAGAGAAGAGAAGAGAAGAGAAGGAAAGGAAGGAAAAGAAAAAGAAAGTAAGAAAGGAAGAGGGAAAGAATAAAGAAAGGAAATAAATGAAAGGAAAAAAGGAAGGAAGGCAAGAAGAAGGTTGAATAAGCCATGTCTCAAAGGTTTCTTTGTGGAGGTCTAGCCATCCTACTTGCTCTGTAGACCAGGCTGGCCTCTATCTCAGAGATCCACCTGACTCTCTGCGTCTGCTTCAGGAGTGCTTGGAGTAAAGGCCGGTGCCACAATCACAAACACAGAGAACCAATTTCAGTTTAAGAAGGGTCTCTGGGAATTGGGGGACCAGGGTAGTTAGGAAGGAGAGAGATATTTAAGCTAAGAATAACAAGATAAATACTAGATTGCTGGATAGGGAGATGAGGAAATCATGTCTATGATAGTCTATTCCTAATAACATTATAGATGTGTCCTGCTTAGTTTGGTTGTCAACTTGACATAGCTAAGAAGAGCAAACATCATTTGAAGAATCATCTGTCTCAGATAACCTATAGGCATGTCTGTGGTGGCATTTTATTGATTGTGGATTGATATAGTGAGTACAAGTCCCCTGTGGGTTGTGCCATCCCTATTAACATGAGACTATGATGAATAAGAAAAACAGCTGAACATGAGCCAAGGAGCAAGCCAGTAAATACTGTTCTCCTGTGCTTTCTACTTCAGTTCCTGCCTCCATATTTCTGTCTTGTGTTCCTGCCTTGCCTTCCCTCCATGATGGACTGCCACCTGTAAGCCGAATAAACTCTTTCCTTCACCAGGTTGCTTTGGGTCATAGTATTTAGCATGGTAACACATCATGCAAAGTAGAACCAGAGGCTGGGGTTAGCAGAGAGCTGACATCTTTCTTTAGCCTACTTGAAGCGCTGGGTTCAACCGCTGTACACCAAATAATGCTGACAATGATGATGATCATATATTTCGTCTGCCATTTCTAACCTCGGGGACATCACTGATTCCTTGTCTACATTTCAAATTTGAGGTCATTAGGGTAGCATTAAGTTCCTGCAAAATCCCCCTGTATCCACACAACTGCCTTTGGTGCAGCTGCTTGCATGTCTATCTCTAAATTCCCTTTCACTTGTCTGACGGTCAACTCCTCCTTTGGTGTCAATGCAGAAATTTCTCTGCAAGAACCCCAATCTAGAATGGCTATTCCCTCCTCAGAGATTCTGTATCTATCATTTGTCAACACCAGCAAGGTGCATCCCCCAGAAATGAGGCTATGGATGTGGGCTGCCTCTCTTCTGGGTGACAGGAAAACCTGATCGGCATCAGGGATTCCCCATATCTAATAGCTATTTGATCTGTAAACAGTGCAAGAAGAAAAGGCACTGACCCTCCCCCACTCCACTCCAATACCTGGATCAGGAATTTCAGGGGCCAATTGTAGCAGCGCACACTCAATTTCCAGTTTTTTGATCGTCCAAGGCCTCCCAAGATTTCAAACTCAGTAGGTGTGTACCAGTCCCCAGCTTCACTCTGTATGGACTTCATGGAGATCCCTGTAAGACCACAGTAGACTGATCATGAGCCTGCTTTGTCCCTGGAGCTCAGATTCGTGGCCTCCCACCACACTAGAACTGGAGCCACCGAGACTGTGCTCAAAGTCAATAACAGAAGAGTCGCCCCCCTCTCTGGCTTCAGGAATCCCAACTCAGCCCTGGAGTTCCCTAACAGTCTTTGTTGAAGCCTTCCATATTTCTGATTTTTATGCCTGAATCAAATGGCAATTGCCACCAACAAACCTTTTGATACTACTTCAAGGTCACCGAGAAAAGGACAAGTAAGTGAGTGACTACACAGGGTGAATGGATTTCAGTGAGGTTGAGCTCTCCTGCTAGAGAACAACCAGAGTCTCAGAAGGACCCAGGCAAGGTGGAGGTGGGGCCCTCAGCTCAGAGCTGAGGCTGGAGTCTGCAACTCGGGAGTTCTGTGACGTCACTCTCTACCCAAATTATTGAGACTATTGAAGAGAAGTTCACCCATCCCTGTAGTCAGAGGTAGGTATCATTTAAACACAAATGACATTTTATCCAGCAGAAATTTAGATTATTTTTTTTTTAAAAAAACTAGTCATATGCTTGGCATCTTCCTTATTATTAAAATGCAAACAAAATTACATTTGATACCGCACCAAGGTGATGATAATAATAATAGTAATGAAATAACAACCATTAGTATAGGAAAGTTGGAGGGATCCTGCATTTCTCATGGGACTATACAACAGTAAAGTCACCACCAAAATCATTTGGGTGATTCCTTACTGAGTTCACCGTATGTATCATTACCATGACTTAGCAAGTCCACCTCTGTGTATGTGCCTCAAACTGAGTGTGCCTATTCCTACATATGTTGTACTCAAATTCTCAAAACAGCATTGTTCATTAATCCCAGTGTAGAAATAATACAAATTGATGAATGAATAAAGAAAATGTGACCGGGCCCTAAAATGGAATATCGTATTATTTGGCAGTTAAAATATATTATTGCATAAACTACACAGACGAGGCTTGAAATCACCATGCTGAGTGAAAGCAGGCGATCATACTGGCATGTGTCATAGATGTCATTTGTATGAAATGTGTACAGTAGGCAGATTTATAGAGCAGGAACTAGTCGGTGGATGCTCAGTAGGGCAACGTGGGCATAAACATCAACTACTAATAGACAGAGGGGCACAAACACTTTCTCATTGTAATCTCTTATGATGTATAAAAGAAGAAAACCCCGGGGGCTGGAGAGATGGCTCAGCTGTTAAGAACATTGACTGGTTCTCCAGAGGACCCGGGTTCAATTCCCAGCACCCACATGGCAGCTCACAACTGTCTGTAACTCCACTTCCAGGGGATCTGACACCCTTACACAGGCAAAACAACAATGTACAATAAACAAATTAATTAAAAAAAAAAGAAGAAGAAAACCCCATTATTGGAGACTCTAAATGCTGAATTATGTGGTATGCGATTATAACTCAGTAAAGCAACTAAAACAATGAAATCTGTTGACTGTCATTCACAGGCTCATACTAAATGAACTCTGAGGTGAAGTCCATCATACTATGTATCTTTGCAAACCTTTAAGGCATATAATTGCAGAATATGTTATACCAATAATACAAATTAATCCTCATGGATATACTATGGGTCGGGCTTTATATTATTGTCCTCTATTTAAAAACAAGTAATTCCATGCCCAGAAAGCCCCGCCCATACAACAAAAAGAGACCTCTTCTCTTGGCAAAGCTGAGTCTGGAACTTGGGTTCTCTGATTCTCAATCCTGTGATGCTCTCACCATGACAAGTGCCCTGCCCTGGTGCTACTGACACAGGGATGTGCAGGCAGAGGCTGAGGGTCCCTCCCCATTTATGCCTGACTGGAAGGAAAATATGCAGTAATTTCCATCTCTGGAGGGAAGTTTCTCTGGTTCTCTGGGCATCTCATGGCTCCATCCATGTTACTGTGAGCATCTACTAGGCATGGTTTCTTCAAGCGTTAGGATCCCTCCTGTTTTCAAGGCACCTCCCCCAGTTCCTTAAGCAATTCCCTTATTGCTTGTGATGTTTTTATTTAGCAGTTGTGAATTAAAACCCACGCTACCTACCTTGCTTGAATCTGTCCTTGTGTAATGTTCCCTTTGCGTCACCACACGTCACAGGAAGCAGCTCAGCACTGAAATCTGCATTTTCATTTCTGTGCCTTCTTGGAACTGAAAAAGAAGATTTCTTCTTTTGTCTCACTTTGGAGGTGTGTATGCTCCCTCCTCTCTCCCATTCCTTTAACACTAGGAACACTTTGATCCTCAGATCTCTAACTTCTAAGTCTTTCTTGCAAATGGCACATTGGCTATGTAACGACAAATATTTTACCCCTAATTAAAAAAAAAAAAAAAACAGAAGGCTTTGGCAGAGAATTTTGGCTTTGATAAAATTGTCCTGATTCTAACTCTGGTGACCACCACTGATTGCTACGCGACCATGAAACAGACGCTGTCTGACTGTTTTATTGTAGTAAAGATGGTAGAGATGGTTCTCTGATCTCCATTTGAGCCTGACCTGGCTATCAGCAACCTAGCAGAGTTGGGTGGGATCATCTCTACTTCCCCTTTAAGTTCGTGCTGCTCCATTTCTCCCTGAGGCACTGAGAGCAAACACAAACCCCTAAGCTGCCTTGCGGGTAGGCTGTGCCTTCAGTCAGTTACTGCCTGCCTAGACCAAGCAAAATGAATTAGAAGGTCACTGCTCTTACTGATGTTGGTGACAGTGAACTGTGGTGCTGACCTAAATGTCCGTCAAAAGCAGGCTGGTTTAAAACTCACGGTAAGGACTGACCAGATGGCTCACTTAATAAACAAGCCAGCAACCAAGGTGGATGACTTCACTTGGATCCCCAGAAACCAGAAGGGAGAAGGGAAGAACCATCTTCTCTATGCTGTCCCCTGACTTCATGACACATGCACAGTTATATACGTATGCACACATGAACAAAATAATAAAAAATTATGGATCTTTCGGCTCATATACCAGACCTCTGAATAGCAAGTAGCTATTAAAGAGAATAATGTAAATGTATGTGTATTATGGTGAGGACCTCACTAAGGAAAGCTTCTACTCTTTAATAATCAATCAAAGGATCAAAACAGAATATTACAAAATGAAAATGCACATATGCATTTATGAAAACAAGTAATACACGGAAATACACAGGAAAAGATAACGGGGCTGGAGAGATAAGTCAGTAGTTAAAACCACTGGCTGCTCATCCAAAGGACTGGTTCAGTTTCCAGCACCCACGTCTGACAGTTCAGGACTGTCTAACTCCAACTACCTGCAGACGATCAAACACCTCTTCTGGCTTCCAAAGGAATCTACCCCAATGATGGTTCTCTCTCTCTCTCTCTCTCTCTCTCTCTCTCTCTCTCTCTCTCTCCAGCTCCCTCTGCCCTCCCTCCCATCTATCTATCTCTATCTCTCATACACACACGTGCACACACACCAAAAAAGGGAGTAAAAATGTTTCAGAAGATAGGGAAGATCCAGGCATGACGAGCACAACGTTAATACCAATATATGGGAGGCAGAAGCAAGTAGATCTCTGCTGTGAGTCCCAGGCAAGCCTGGTCTACATAACAAGTTTCAGGACAGCCGAGACTATATAAAAAATAAATAAAACAAGACCCTGTCTTAAATTAAAAGAGAGAGAGAGAGAGAGAGAGAGAGAGAGAGAGAGAGAAAGCTTGAACTCAAGACTAGGAGCTGTGGGGAGTATATATGGGGGACACTTAAAGTGGCTTCATCCTTTCTATATTCCACAACATCAAAAGCTTCTAAACCACATTCTGTTGTGCAGGCCTGTAATCCCAGGATGTAGGGAACTGAATGACAAGTTCAAGGTCAGCCTGGGCTGTAGAAGGAGTTAAAGGCCAGGGTGGGACACTTAGCAAAACCTTGATTCTAAAATCTTTAAAATAGAGACTCGTAGTCAAGCACTGTCGAGGCCCTAGGTTCAATGGCAATACTGGAAATGTATCACTTCCTGTGCAGTAGCAAACACCCTGACAGGCACTGTTTCTGAGGAGCACATCTGATCACCACTGCGGAGCAGACAGAGGTCGACCATTTCCTTGTCAGAGGAGTCACCCTCCTAGGACAGGACACTGAAGTGAAAATAAAAACGTGCAGCTTGCCATGGCCGCTGCTAGCCAGGGCCTTTCTTGCCTTTTTTTTTTTTTTTTTTTTTTTTTTTTTTCTTCCTGGGATCAAAATCTGACAGGGAGAGCTCAGACCAGGAGTGAGCCTGGGACAGCTTCCTAGGTGACAAGTCCTGCCAGACAGGTAGAAAACCAGAACAGAGGGGAGCCAGCTGCTGACCTGGAGACTCTGCTATTTGAATTTCTTCCCTGAGGTGAGTTAGTGAAAGCAGGGAGGGGCAGAGTTCAGGAGGTAACACTCAGAGTTCACGAGATAACCACAGAACCGGTCACAGACGTCACCAGGAGTCCCCTGACAGCTGTGACCTGAGTCTGGTGACAGCTGACGGTGTTGCACACAAGAACATTAAGATTGTGGGTTGTGGCAAGCTGGCCTTGCCGGAGGGTATCTTACTCAGTTCCAAAACTCCGAATGCTCTTGCTGTCTGTCTCTCTGTCTGTCTGTCTCTCTGTCTATCTATCTCCTCCCTCTCCTTCCCTCCCCTCTTCCTCTCTCTTGTCTCTCCTCTCTAACTACGGTACAAAGCTTCTTCACGTACAAGGCTTTGGGCTGACTGAAACTACAGCCACTTAATCAAGACATGAAATCACCCAAGCTGTCAGAGGGCAAAGTTACAGAGGGAGAAAAACGCACCTGGTGATGATCTGCGGCTGCTATTTTTCATCTCTCAACTCCTGCCAGGGGCCTGGGAGGATGAGCTCTGATCCCTTGCTCTCCTCAGAGGCTTCCAGACTGTGAATTGTGACCCACAGCTGAGGACAGGAAGTAGGTCTGAACACTAACTCACCAGAAGAGGCTCCGCCCAGATGAGGAAAAGAAAACAAAAACGAAAGTATTTCTCTAATCTCAACTGTGCTGCTCAGAGATACTGTCCCTTCTTTCTTTCCTGAAATGTGGTGACAGGAGGGGGAGAGGGGGAGCCAGTGGATTAGTGGGTTACAAAGGGGCACAGCAGGGACTTGCAAGGCCAGCTCCCAGGAGTGCCTCATTTATGCAAAGATGGAAAAAACAACAACCTGCAAGCAACAACAACAAAACTCCCCTCAAACCCAAACTGTTCTCAGTCACCCCTGTGTCTAGGGAGCAGTTATACCAGGGTTGGCTGTATAATCCCCCCTTTTCTTGTCTTGTCCATGACTAAGTGGCTTGGGTGGGAGAGAGATGGGGGAGGAGGGTCAAATACTTTCAGGTAATCTCTCAGGCTAGCAGGAAAATCCAGAGCTGGATCCTGACCAAGAGAAGCTTTCCCTCAGACCTCAGGGGAAGTAGGGGTGGAGGGGGAGAGATTCCCCCAGCTTTTTGACGCTCTGGGTTAGAGCACTGACTGAGGAGTTGTCACCCCAGCCTAGAACTCAAGGGTGGGAGGAAGCTGCCACAGTGGTCACCTTATGTCCACCCTTCTGAGATGTGGACCTGAAGAGATATGGGCAGACACCCCCAGAGAGTCCTTCCAGGAAGCCCCTGAGGGATCACCAGGATACACCAGGTTTCTCTCTGTTGCTCTGTCTGAGGAACCAGGGGACTGGGTGAGCCTGTGTCCTGTCAGGTCTCCAGCAGTCTTCTTGCCTGCGCAGACCAGGGCTCTGTTCTCATCCTTAGCTCAAATGCACAGGGACAGGGCTGGAGCGGGGCTGACTGACAGCAGCAGCCTGAGGCCAGGCCTGAGGTCAGATTTCAGGGCTCCTTTCACTGTCTCACATTTTAGCCAGGTCTCCAATTCTGCTTCTATCAGGAATGAAGTTTTTCTAAATGATTTTATTTTATCATAAATCATCTATATGTTTCTGTATGGGGTATGCACACATGAATGCATATGGCTCATGATATGAGAAGACCGTGTGTGATCCATGAAGCTGGAGTTAGCGGCAGTGTGTCACCGGATACAGGTGCTGGGAACCAGACCCTGGTCCTCTGCAAGAGCAGAATGCACTGTTAACCATTGAAGCAACTCTAGCCACAGACAGTATTTTGACCCTCATCTTCTGCCTTCATGTTGTCTGTCAGGTAGTATAGAACCAAGGTTGGGGAGAATGATAAACCTGGCATTTTGTGGCCCTAAACTCATTTACACTTCAGCCTGTCTCTTTCCTCAAGTTCCCTTACCTGTGAACCAGGTGAGTACAGAGGCTGGAAGCCTTGGCAATCCCATGATCATGATGCAGTTATCCCCAGGACCTAGTGGGCTTTGGGTAGCAACATTTGAGATCTTAGAGACTGTGCGGAGACTGAGTCTAACATCCTGTTTTCGTCAGGGTTCCCTAGAGGAACAGAACTTATGGAATGAGTCTCTCTATGTATAGAAAGGATTTTACCAGAATGACTTACAGGCTGCAGTCCAGCTAATGCAACAATGATTGGCCATGAGTGGAAAGCCCAAGGATCAAGTAGTTCCTCCATCCACAAGGCAGGATGTCTCAGCTGGCCTTTTTTGTAGGATTCATTTTCTGGAATCCAGAAGAAGCAGTCTCTAATACTGTTAAGACTTTAAGACAATCCTGAAGCCATTTTTGACAATTCTGAATCCTCTCAGCCTCTGTGCCATAGTGCTTCCCCTCCTCCCCTGGGAACCAAGGACCTAACAGCTACACTCGCAGGTACTCAGTTCCTGAACAATTACCCATATATGTATGTTTTGGTTCGGTCCCCTGGGAAACAGGGTCAAAATGACCTCTTACCTCATCTGATCTGGCAACAGCTCTTCAGCCAATTATTGATAATAGATCTTTTAAATAAGCCAATGAGAATAGTCAAAGAACAACCCCCCTTGCTTCTGTGGCCCCTTTAAAAGTAGACTGTACCAGCTATTCGAGGTCCCTCGGCTTCTCGAATGCTGGGGGACCCTGTCATGACAGAATTAATAAAATCCTCATGCTTTTGCATCGGCTGTGGTGTGTGAGATGGTCTCTGGGGGCGACTCCTTCTCGGTGTTTGGACGCTAGAGTCCAACAATACCAATGAAGGAATGGATGTGGTAGCAAAAATAGGGCAAGAAGGCAAAGACTAACAGCTTCCCTCTTCCAAGTGCTCCCAACAAAATGTGTAGCCCAGAGCAAAGGTGTGTCTAACCGCCTCAAGATCCCAAACAAAGGCGTGTTTTCCTACCTCAAATTCCAGAACAGAAGTCGACCCACCCAAATCCAACCAAGCCCTCCATTGTTGGGTTTTAGTTCCAAACGTAGTTAAGTTGACAATCAAGAATAATTATCAAACAACCCTAACCATCAGACCTCTGCCTAAAACCTCAGGAGGAAACTAAGGGGTGTGAGGCTGTGGAGTCATAGGCTTTGAAATTTATGAACTACTGGGGAGACAGAGGAGGAAATTTGAATATTTCTAGTGGGAGGTGTGAATGGGAAGAGATTCCAAGGCAGAGAAGGAGGAGGTCAAAGACACGGGCACACAGGAGGTCCACCTGCCATCTTCTGAAGATCTGAGGACCATCCATGAGAAACACCTTTGAAGAAGCCCAGGGTCCTGATAATGCTCAGGAGGAGGCGGGATGCTGGTCCAGGGCCTCATGTCCGGTGAGTCCCTACCTCAAGTCTGCATCATCTCCCATAGCCCTTCAGTTCAGCTTCTGTTTCTTCAAGTGGGCAAGGACAGAGATTCCCTGTGACCTGGGTACAGGTGAGAGACCCAGAGACTGCAGGTCATTGGTATCAGACATGCCTTTCATTCACAGGCCCTTGCCACAGAGGCTGGCTACGTACACACCACACAGCAAGGCTAGTGACTTCCCTTTCTGTGCCTGCTATCTAGGTTTTTTTGTTTTGTTTTGTTTTGTTTTGTTTTGTTTTGTTTTGAGTCAGGCTTTCTCCTCTGTGTGCCCTGGCTGTCCTTGAACTCTCTGGGTAGACCAGGCTGTCCTTGAACTCAGAGATCCACCAGCCTCTGCCTCCCAGGTGAGCCGTCACTGCCCAACCTTTCTTTTTTAACAATGATTTTATTCTCTTTTTAATTTTATGTGCATCGTTTTTTTTTCCCCCTGCATTTACATCTTTATGAGGGTGTCAGATCCCGCTGGGACTGGAGTTTCCGACAGTTAAAAGCCAGAATGTGATCCTGGGAACTGAACCTGGGCCCTCTGGAAGAGTATGCAGTGCTCTTAACTACTGAGCCAGCACTATCAGAGGGCAGTAGCCACTTTCTGGTCAGAGTGGGCAGTAGCTAAGAATACAACCCCCAGCCCCCAGTGGTTTCAGGTAGTCTCCTTAGACCAGGATTCTACTGCCATCGATGGGAACCAAAATAGTTATGTACACTATCATATCATCTGCAAATAACAAAAGTTTTACTTCTTCCTTTTCTATTTAAATCCCCTTGATCTCCTTTTGTTGTCTTATTGCTATTCCTAGAACTTCAAGCACTAAGTTGAAGAGATATGGAGAGAGTGATAGCCTTGTCTTGTTCCTGATTTTAGTGGAATTGCTTTGAGTTTCTCTCCATTTAATTTTTGTTGGCTGTTGGCTTAGTGTATATTGCTTTTATTATATTTAGATATGTTCCTTTTATCCCTAATCTCTCCAAGACCTTTATCATGAAGGGGTATTGGATTTTGTCAAATGCTTTTTCAGCATCTAATGAAATGATTATATGGTTTTTTCTTTTAGTTTATTTATATGATGGATTACATTGATAGATTTTCATATGTTGAACCAGCCCTGCATCTTTGGGATGAAGCTGACTTGATCATGGTGGATGATTTTTTGATGTGTTCTAGGATTTGGTTTGCGTATTTTATTAAGTAATTTTGCATCAATGTTCATGAGTGAGATTGGTCTGTAATTCTCTTTCTTTGTAATGTCTGTATGTGGTTTGGGTATCAGGGTATTTGTAGTCTCCTCATAAAAAGAGTTTGACAATGTTTCTTCTGTTTCTATTGTGTGGAACAATTTGAGGAGTATTGCTATTAGTTCTTTGAAAATCTTGTAGAATTCTGAGCTGAAACCATCTGTTTCTGGGTTTGTGGTTTGTTTTGTTTTTTTTGGTTGGGAGACTGTTGATGTCTGTTTCTATTTCTTTAGCAGTTATAGGTCTAATTAGTTTGTTTATCTGTTCTTGACTTAATTTTGGTAAGTGATATTTATCCAAAAAGTTGTCCATTTCCTTTAAGTTTTCCAATTTTATGGAGTACAGGTTTTTGAAATATGCCTAATGATTCTCTGGATTTCCTCCATGTCTGTTGGTATGTCTGCCTTTTCATTTCTGATTTTGTTAATTTGGATATTCTCTCTCTCTTCTCTGCCTTTTGGTTAGTTTGGATAAAAGCTTGTCTATTAATTTTCCCAAAGAATCAACTCTTTGTCTCATTGATTTGTATTTTTCCTATGTTTCTATTTTGTTGATTTCACCTCTCAATTTGATTATTTCCTGCCATTTAGTTCTCCTGAGTGAGTTTCCTTTTTTGTTCCAAAGTTTTCAAATGTTCTGTTAATTTAGTTGGAATTTTTCCAACTCCTTTATGTAGACATTTAGTGCTATGAACTTTCCTCTTAACACAGCTTTCATTGTGTCACATAAATTTGGCTATTTTGTGAGGTAATTCTCATTGAATTTTAGGAAGTCTTAAATTTCTTCCTTTATTTCTTCCTTGACCCATTGATGATTTATGTGAGCATTGTTTAATTTCCATGTGTTTGTGGGCTTTCTGAAACTAGTGTTACTGTTTAATTCTAGTTTTAAGCCATGGTGATCCAATAAGGTACGTGGGGTTATTTCAATTTTTTTGTATCTGTTGAGGTTTGTTTTGTTACCTAGTATGTGGTCAGTTTTTAAGAAGGTTCAATGAGGTGCTGAAAGGAATGTATATTATTTTACGTTTGGATGAAATGTTCTATCAATGTCTGTTAAGTCCGTTTGAGTCATAACATCTGTTAGTTCCCTTATTTCTCTGTTAATTTTTTGTCTGACAGACTTGTCTAGTGGTGAGAGTGTAGTGTGGAGCTCTCTCACTATTAGTGTGTAGGGTTTAATGTTTTATTTAAGCTTTAGAAGTGTTTATTTTACATACAAGGGTCCCCTTGTATTCGGGGCATAGATGTTCAGTATTGAGATTTCCTCTTGAAGGATTTTTCCTGTGACTAATATAAAATGTCCTTCTTTGTCTCTTTTGTTGGTTTTAGTTTGAAGCCTATTTTGTTAGATATTAAGATAGCTACACAAGCTTTTGCTTAGGTCCATTTGATTGGAAATTTTTTCCCCAATGTTTACTCTGAAGCAATGTCTGTCTTTGAAGTTGAAGTGTGTTTCTTGTATGCAGAAGAAGGATGGATTCTGTTCTCATATCCAATCTGTCAGCCTGTGTCTCTTTATAGGTGAGTTGAGTCCATTTATATTAAGAGATATTAATGATGAGTGATAGCTATCTCCTGTTATTTTAGTTTTCATTGTTGGTGATGTTATTTTGTGTGTTTTCTCCTTCTTTGTGATTTGCTGCTGTGAGATGATCTATTGTCTGTGTTTTTGTTGATGTGGTCAATTTCCTTGGGTTAGAGTTTTACTTGTAGTACTTTGTGTAGGGCTGGGTTTGTGGCTAGGTATCAGTTAAGTCTGGTTCTGTCATGGAATATCTTGTTTTGTACTTTTATAGTGATTGAAAGTTTTGCTGGGTATAATATTCTGGGCTGGCATCTGTGGTCTCTTTAATGTCTGCATAATGCTCCGATAACCATTTTAAAGGTAGAGCTGTTGGTGTCTTTAGAAGATTAGCAACTGGTTGTGCCCTGATTTTGTACAGCCTGAAGAGTCAGTGACTGTTCTTTATAATATCTTGTAATATATTCACAGAAACATATGTTAATTTATGGTTTGTTTGATTGTAAGATTGGGGGAATATTAACCTGAGCATTCCATTGCTGTAGCAAGTCACATCCCTGCAAATTCATTGCTATGTTAGCCACATACTGTTTTAATATTCTCCTCTGTCCTTCCGGCCCTATACATTCAACCTATCTTGTGCTCTGCTTTACCTGAGATAAGTCTTGATCTCTAGAAACTGAACATTTACTTCCTGAAGAGGCCAATTTGGATGCCAAGATTCTGATGAAATTATTATTACATTTGTACCTGTGTACAGACCTTCAATGACAATGTCATTTATTTGTAATTTTAATTTTGGTCTTTTTTTCTTTATAGAAGTTTGCCAAAATACTCATTTCCTGGTTTCTTTCTCCTGAATTTTTTGTTCTCTCTTCTATAGCCAGTCTATCATCCAGAGCAGTATGGTTTCTTACAATAGACATTAGGGTTTTAAATTGCTCTGGGAAGGAGATTCCTTTATGATGGCAGGAAATGACTGAACCCACTTTGACATAGGGGCTGGCTAGAGGCCCCTCATGGATTTTCCCAATGGCAAAGGATTACCTTGACTATCCCTTGTTGAAATAAATTCATTACTTCAATGCCTGCCTTTGCCACACCTTCTGCAAAAACCAGAAGGGAGGAGAATTCTGAATGGATTATTCTTTAAAAAATTGTTTCTAGTAACATCCTGTCTACAAACCTGTTTAAGGTGAACTTTTTTTGCCACAATTATAACATTTGACATTTCAAGTTTTTCTCAAATCTCTGGAAATCACCTCTTTCCTACCATGCACCATCATGGTCATGGGATACAATATTAATTGTATCTTGAAACCATCCCTCCAAAGGTGCTGACCTTGGCTTTAGCAGCCTAATTATCCTTTCGCATAGAGAATTAGCATTTTCAAAAGCCAGAGGTTCAATTATTATTTGTCTAACTTCTAAATTTGGTATCATTCTATTTATTGTTGATCTCAATCTTTGTAACAAATCTCTGAAAGTTTCTTTTGGGCCCTGTATGACTTTAGTAAATGTTTTAATCTTTTTTTTCTCCTTCTTCAATTCTGCCCCAAGCATTTAAAGCTGCATGGAATAAAACCAGGGTGTGATCATCATATACAGCTTGTCTTTCTATAGTAGCATCACCTCCTTTTCCAGGTATTTGATCTTAGGGGTTTTCTATACCTCTAGCTTTTCTCTGTTGTTCAATAGTCTTAGCCTCTTCTCTGAACCAGTTACTCCATTGTAATTGTGGAACAGGCTCTAAAACAGCTTTAACCAACTCTATCCAGGCATTAGTGATAATTCTATTGCAAACTGACCATGAGGTTAATATTTGCTTCACAAAGGTGAATGCATGCCATTTGAGACTATTGCTTCCTTGAATCTCCTTAAATCTAACATTGGTACAGGAGTCCAGCTAGCTGTTAACAGAACCTCTGCCATTTGGAATTCCTGTAAGGTTACTGGATATATTAAGGTTGGTTGTTTGAAAATATTAGGCTGTTCCTCTCTATTCTTACAATGCAATGCTGAAATTAATTCTTCATTAAATTCCTCTGTCTTGATTTGAATATCTCTGTGGCCTGTTTTATTAAGTTTTTCTAAGGTCTGTATCTTAGCATTCAGATTAACCAACTTTTTAGTGATAAGGCAAAATGATAAATCTGATAATGTTTATAATTGATATTGCATGAATCCCATCTAAATTAGAGATCCTCCCATCTGATCATTCCATTTTCAAACTGTCTAGCATATTATCATACAGAGACACAAATCCCTCCAATGTAATGGTGTTTCCCACTTTTTAATGTGTTTAAAAAAAAAAACTCTTTCTTTTAACTAATTCCTCTCTTTAAGAACTCCCAGTTGTCTTTCCAAAACTGCTGATGATGTTGATGAAGATGTGAGGCTGATTGCTGCTGTGTACAACAGTAAAAGCCTGACTGGATTTCAAGGCAGCCACCTAGTTTGGTAGCAGCCCAAGAAGGGAGTTCAGGGAGAGCCCTCCAGGAAAGGAAAAAAGAAAAACCTAGCTGGCAGGGCAGTGACTCTGGCCAGTTGTAGCTCTGGTCTATTCCAGTGACTATAATGCCACAGGCAAACGGCTTTATTGTGAATTTGTATGCCAAGTGCTGGCACCAAATGTAGCATGAATCATAAAAACCCAGAGACAGACATTGGGCTTCAACCTGAGGATCAGAAAAGCCAAGCAGCCAGCCACTGGCTCTTACCTCTACCTCAGACTAAAATGGACAATCCTACCTCTACATATCCTCAGATAGAGACTGAGACTGAAACCTGTCTCCTTCCATCTTATATTCCCCTCTGTTGCTGGCATTAAAGGTGTGCACCACCGCCCAGTGTCTATGGCTAACTGCTGTGGCTGCTGGGATCAAAGATGTTTGCTACCACTGCCTGGCCTGTATGAATAACTGATTAGTGTGGCTGCTTTGCACTGATCTTAAGGCAAACTTTATTTATTAAAACACAAATAATATACCACTATATAAGGCCTTTTTAAAATTTTATTTGGTGAATTGTTTGTTTGCTCTTGAACTAGGACCTTGCTTTATTACCAGAGTCACTGAAACTCACGATGTAGCCCAGGCTGGCATCACATTTGCAGCTATCCTCCTGCCTCAGCATTCCAAGGGTTGGGAATACAGGAGTGTCTCACCACATGAGTTGACATCTTGGAGAATTGTGGTTAATTATGAAGGGCTGTCAGGAACATATGTGTCACAGGGGAAGTAGGGCCAGGCCATCTGGAGACTGCCTCTAGCCTAGATCCTTGGGGAGCAAAGAATAGCAATCTATCACACCCTTTGTTCCCGCTGGAGGCAGGGGGATGGACCACAAGACCTGGAAGTGTGACTCCCATTTGCAGCTGTCCCCATGTGACCCAGAAAATCCTCTGGATATGATGGCGTCAGTAAAGAACGTTCACTGCTGCAGATGGGAAGACCTGACAGGAAAAGGACATGGTGCTAGCACACCAGCAGCATCTGTGACATCAGTCAACTGTTTTCATTTGTGTCCTGAATAGCAAACACTTCCTTGAAATTCTTCTCAAACTCAGACTCCAGTCTAAGTCCCATTTGGCCAAAGTTGAGGTCCTAGAAAACAACAAAGGCAAGAATGATGGTGCTCATTATCAGTGAGAGAACCATTTCCTCAGCACGTCTACCCTCTGATGGAATCTGTTAACTTCATGGTCCAGTCACATGTAAGGTAACTCAGACTTTGCTATTTCTGAGAATCTTGTCTATATAAAGAAACAAGCAGAAAATTTTCAGATTGGGGAGTTGACTCAGTGTGTCAATGCTCGCCACACAAGTGTGAGGACCTGAGTTCAGATCCCCCAAACCCATGGAAAGCTTTATGCAGTAACACACATCTGTAATTCCAACACTCTACAGTGATGACAAATGGATTGCCTTGTGTCAACAAGGTGATATATGAAAAGCACCCACAGTTGCCCTCTAACTTGATCCTCATGTGTAGTATGACACACATGCATCTGCATTTACACATGAACATACGCTTACCCATGTATACATACATACACATCACACATGTCCATAAAACACACACATATATATATATTTAAACTAGTGTGAAGTTTTCCAAAAAATGGTCGCCACCGGGAGTGGTACTACTACCACTAGGAGTTGTAGCTTTATTGGAATAGATGTGGCCTTGTTGGAGAAAGTGTGTCACTGTGGGATGGCTTTGAGGTCTCCTATGTTCAAGATACACCCAGTTAGACACAGATTCTTTCTGCTGCCGTGGATCAACATGTAAAACTCTCAGCACCTTCTCCAACACCATGTCTGCCTGCACATCATACACCATGATGTTAATGGACTAAACCTCTGCAACTGTAAGCTAGCTCCAAATAAGTTTTCTTTTATAAAAATTGCATGCTCATAGTGTCTATTCACAATGATAGAAACCTTAACTAAGACAACTAGGATCTAGAGAAACAACTTGGTGATCATGCAGGCTGCTATAATATTAGCTTTGGGGGATCTGAGGTCTTTGACTACACTCACATGCACATACACTGTGACATTTCTGCTAAATGCATATACATGCATGTGCATACACACACAGAGAGATTAAAATCTTGTGCCATCACACCTAGTGTTACGGAATAATCTTTTTTTACACTCTGAAGATGTGTCTCTGTATTACTTCAGCTACTTAAGGTGCCTTCTGATTGGCTTAATGAAGAGCTGGATGGCCAACAACTAGTCAGGAGAGGATAGGTGGGACTTCTGGGAAGAGATGGGAATGAGAAAGCCGAGGGATTCTCCAGCCAGATGCAGAGGAAGTCGGATTCACATTACTGAGGAGAGGTAATAAACTGTATGGCAGAACATAAATTAATAATTTAATCTTTAATAATTCAATCTTTAATAATTTAAGCTTTAAGAGCAAGTGGGGAAAAAGACCTAAGCTAATGTCAAGCTTTCAAAACTAGGAATAAGTCTCCAAGTCATTATTTGGGAGCTGGTGGGCCAAAAAAGTCTGGCAACATGTATTTTAAAATACATGTATTTTCAAACAAACAAAAAAAAAAGAAGAGCATATATTTTTAAAAAGATCAATCAATTAATAGATATAAATGTCCTTGTCTGGGGACATGCAGCTTAATTGTCCTCTTTCTGGTCCTCTACCCTTATAGACTGGGAAGGAAAAGAGCTCTGTGGTGCTGGCAACCTTTCTGTTACTGTAACACAGTCTACATATTAAATCGAAAAAATATTGTTCACTTCCGGACTTTTTTTCCTTTGAGATAGGGTCTCACACTGTAGACAAGTCAGGCTTTGAACACAAGACAATCCTCCTGCCTCAGCCTTTGAAGGCATGCCCCACTGTGTCGGGCACTCTTAGACTTCTTGCTTATGCAACCTTATTACAGGTACCAGAAATTAGGGAAAGAGTAATCAACCCAGAGGAAAGAAAATGAGATGCAGGCAGAGAGGGATGCTGACCTTGAACGTGGTCCTGTGGTTCTGGAAGATGAGCCTCATGTCTTGCACAAACTCTTTCACGTGGAAGTATTCTTTCCCTTTAAGCTTTTTCTTGATCAAGTCCAACCACATAGGTTCCATTATACCCACAGACATCTCTCTAAACTGATGACAGAAATAACAATGGGAGAGTGACAGACATGGCTCAGCTTACCTTCCACAGGGCCCCAGAAAGTCCACAGAAACAACAGAGTCTGTGGTCCTGGGAGATTGTGATCCCAATTCCACAAATGGCCCTCACATTCATGTAACATCATAGTTCCCAGTGATGGGAGGGCTCATCACCATTACTTACATAAAAATAATATGGCATCTTGGAAAAAAAGGAACTCTCAGAACAGCAGTAGATTCTCAAGAGGACAAATTCACACTTCTACAAGAAAAGGAGACTCAATCAAAGTGACTTACTAAGGCAGAATCCATACACATACCCAGGAGGAAGGCACCACTCAGACATATCTGGAATGTGCCCCAACATGAGTGTCTCTTGATTACAGACTTATAAAGGCTGAGTTAGTTTTTATGCCAATGGGTTGTATTGTGACAGCAGCGTGATGGAGTGTGGCTTGAAAGAGCAGGCTCCATTGCTGCTGTTCTTCTGTCCCCAAGCCTGTTTGTGCTCTTCCAGGGGAAAGGCAAAAGTGTGGGGATCACAGGGACTCACCAACTGCTCCTGGGGCGCCATCTGCCTCTGCAGTACCTCAGATTCCGGATGAGTCTGTTGGCTTCCTAAGGACTGCATCCTGCAGAAAATGCAACTCCATGGTGTCCTGAAAAGTTGGACATGAAGTGAGGAGGGGACAAGACTGAAAACAGCCACTGTTCTATGCCTGTCATTGTGCTTTCAGAATGGCTGATGGTGTCATCTCGGGGAGAGGTCCCCAGGCTCTGGGGGACCCCATGTGGGATCTTAAGCTGCCAGTGCTCTTATCACAGTTGTGGTAGGATCCAGTCCTTGGAAAAAGTGGGATTTATGGTGGCTGGTGGGAAGCAGAGAGGCCAGGCTATTAGGTCTGTACACAAAAAACGGTCTTCCACAAATTCTGGGAACTTTAGACTTTGATTGCTCCATATCTACCTGGTTAAATGTGGGTAGTGGTCATGTTTCCTTCTTTCATGAATAAGTACAAAAGAACTTGGCATATGCCACTCTCAATCCTTTGCACGAGGGGCTCTGGTGAACAACTTTGAGGAAAAGGTAGTAGTAGTTAGTGTGCAGACAAAGGGTCTAGCCTTTGTATCAGAGGAGAAATCAACCCTAACACAGAGAACATTAACCTCTTGCTGGCGGCATCTAGAAACAGCTCTCTGCTTCTTCCTGTTTGGTGTCTTTTAGTAAGAGCTCTTGCTTACCCCCTGTTGAGGCATAAGTTCACAATCTTCAAGGGTAATGTGTGTGACAAGGAAAGGGTGTCTAGGAGAAGACAGAGAGGGACCACAACTCACTTACTTCTCAGCCTCTACTACAGGGATGTGACACTCCTCATGGAAGGCTCTGGGGCAAGTGTCACAGCAGAAGAGCAATCCTACATTCTGGCACACCTCGCATTCATCTGAGTTCTGCATGTAGAAAGTAGAACATTTACATCACTGAGCGATGAGACCCACAGAGCCACTACTGTGGCAATCCTCAACGTGAAGCCTTTGCATGAACCTGCAGGGGCATGGATGCTTCTTCCTGAGACACTGTGGAACACCTTGGAATGTAAATTGCAGAACAAGACTTGGTGCTCTTCAGTGAAGTTTGATTGAAGGGAGCCATGAACCAATCCCAAAACAATCTTCCTTGGGAAACCAAAGATCCTGACACAGAAAGACTAGCAACAAAACAAGATTTTACATAATCTGAAAATTTTTTCTATCATATACAAAAAATGAGTTTCTGAAATAAAATATTAAGTCCATTTTTCCACATAGCAATGGCATCAACTCATCAAAGGGAGATGTACTGGGAATCCAATTTGATGGAGTAAACTAAGAGAATACCACATCCTGTAACTGAGCCATGAACATGCAATGAATTGAAGAAAGGGTCTGCAGAGAAGTGTTTTAGACACTGGGTTCTGTACCTAGAGAGCCCTGAGCCTGTGGTGGGGACTCTGAGAAGTCAGGGTATGAGTACAGATGACCAGCCAAGTGGGTACAAAGCAAAGGACTCTATGGCTGTTGGAATCTTGTAGAAGATTCCACACGACCCAAGAAAATGTGCATGTAAGGCCTGGAGTCACCATCTCTAAAATCCAAGGAGTGTAGTCATGGCAACCACCCAGGGTGGAGACTGTGAGGGTTTTATTTGTGAACCTCTGAGAATGTCTAATTGAGAGTATATTAATTACAGTTAACCCTGCCCACTGTGGGTTCCTGGAATGTGTGCGTGGAGAAAGTGCAGTGATCATAAACATTCATTAACTCATTGCTCTGTGCTCCTGGTGGTGGATGTGATGGGACAGTTGTTTTATGTTTCTCCCACTTCGACTCCCCTGCAAGGATGACCTGGAGCCTAGAACTGTGAGTCTGTTAAGCCTGTCCTCCCTTAAGCTGCCTCTGCCAGGGTATTTTATCATAGCCACAGGAAAAGGAAACTGAGACAGAGACCAAAGCTCTGCCATCATTTTCTTGAAGCATAAAGGAGAGCTCTGTTCTATGAAAGAGAAAAACCTTCCCAAATCAATAGAGATTGGACTTCTTGCCAGGCCTAACACAGAGAACCTTTAGTCAAATTTGGCACAGTCACATCTTGATGGGAACAGCAAAAGCAAAGCTGGGCCACATAATGGCCACCATGCCACCTCTGAGTTTTATCTCCACCTGTTGTGTATTTAAGAGGCTTTTAATAATTGTACATATTTTGTGTGGGACAATGGTCTGTATTCTGTCAATTATATTTTAAATAAACACTGATTGGCCAGTATCCAGGCAGGAAGTATAGTTGGGACAACCAGACAGGAAGTACAGGTGGGTCAATGAGAACAGGAGAATTCTGGGAAGAAGGAAGTCCTAGTCTGCAGCTGTGGCACAGCCACAGAAGAAGCAAGATGTGACGGCCTCACTGAATAAGGTACCAGCCACGTGGCTAACATAGACATGAATAATGGCTAATATAAGTTACAAGAATAAGTAAATAAGAAGTCTGAGATACTAGGCCAATCAGTTTATAACTAATGTAAATCTCTGTGTGATTTCTTTGGGGCTTAATGACTGGGGGAATTGGGCAGGACAGAAAACCTCAGACAACACATATTGGGGATATTGGATTGATGAAAAATATTTTATGAATCATTTATGCCTTCTCCCAGGAGTACTGCTTCTAAACTTCCCCAGGAAAGTCTTGAACATAGTACCCCTCCTGTTTTTAAGGAGATATCCTTATCTACCTCCAAGGTCTTCCTTGAAGTTGTGATGTACAGAAAAAAAACCAGAGGTCTCTTTATGAGGATATGAGATATTGTTGAAGCATCTGTCCCTGTAGTTACTCGGGACCAAGATAACCAAAGCAAAGTAACCTTCAAAAGGTCAACAAAATTTGGTGGGCTAGAGGAGTGATCTGGGCCACAGATCAGATTGCAAGCCTCTTCCCACTGTACACTCAGACAATTACATGGCATATACAGCAATAAACTTAGATTATCTGCAGTTATATTGATTGTCAAAGTATGGACTAAAGTGTTGATAAAAAGAATGAGATGTTAGGATCTCCTTTCTTAGAAAAGTTTGCACATACAGAGTCACTGTGGTGTAGTGTGACCAAGGAACAACCAAATGCCAGGATTAGACATATAGACAAATATAGAAATATAAAATATAAGCATTGTATTAAACCAGAATTTGAATAATACCTGCAGCAGTTTAGGCCTGAAGACTTTTCTTGGGATGCCTCTAGATTCTTAAAAATTGAATTATATGGTTAATGAATAAAAATAACTGTTTTTTAATGATGTCAAAATATGAGAGATAATGAATGGAAATGATAACTCTGTTCTGTCTATGAATGATGACTAAAAGATGAGCAAAAGAAACTAAAACACATGTCCCAAAACAAATATGATAAGCTCTATGTTTTGGAACAACATGAATATATGCCTGATTACTAAGTTCTGCATAAACAAAGAAGTACTGTGACTAATAGTCAGTCAGGCTGCAAGATTCTCCTGACCACCATGGCCTGGCTTACCTTCTTCCCTCACAACCTCCCTTGGGAAGCTGGTGGGGCTTTCCTATTGGTCAGTGTCAACACAGGAACCAGAAAGTGTATGAGTGCTCGTGTACAGGAGCATATGGGTTACTGGTGCCACCTTCAGGAAGAATGGTGACAGGTGGAGAACTGGGTAGTGACTCTATGCCCACATAGAAAACTCCCGTGTCAGACATGATGGAGCATTCCAGGAATCTAGGCACTGGAAAGTTGAGACAGGAGGATCAGGAGTTCAAGGCCATGCTTGGCTACATAGTGAGTTTGAAGTCATTTGAGCCCACATGAGATCCTATCTCAAAAAATAATTAAGAAAGAAGAGAGGGAAGGAAAGGAGAAGTGAAAGAAAAATCTCCCATGTAGTCCATGGGCTGTTGGGAAAATTTTTCTTCTTGTGGCTGTCTGAGGGACAAATATGAGACTGGCCTGAGGACTGGTCCACCACTGAATGAGTGATGGGAAGAAAAGAAGTAGGCAAGGTGGGAGGATCAACCATTCTGTGCCCTCCACCATCCCTGCCTTTAGGAGAAGCCTGACCTGAGGCATCAGTCTTGTTGGTTTTGCTCTATCACCCAAACTACTGGACCACTTTCCTTCCTGGGGCCTTCTCCTTCCTCCTCCAGACACAAGGTTGGCGTTCCTTAGATTTCCATCCTTGGCCATCCATATGATCAGAGGCACTCTCCTGCTGCAGGTTTCCCTTTGTGTCCTCAGTTTTAGGGTGTCTCATCTCTCCTCTGTACCCCTACATGTCCTAATGCTCAGCAATGTCTCCTCTGGGACCCCCTAGAGGCACCTAGATGCACTCATCCCTTTAAACTGTAGCCATTGTCCTACTGTGCCCTTCTCTTTCTTCGACATTTCCATTTTAGAAAACGTGCTCCATACACCTCAGATCCTGCTTCTCTGCTACCTCTCACTTCCCAAATCCATCCAGTTCCTTGTCCTCAGAACACTAATTATTAAGTTTATTTAAAATTTTGTTTTGTTTACCAAGATCTGCAAAATACAAAAATGCTGGTGAGCGCAGAACATTGACAGGACTGGAAGGATTAGGGAGACTATTCTTGCTTGGCAACTTGACCATATCTGAGATGAATTACAGTCCAGAAATGGAGAACATATTTGATTTGAATCTTGAGGCAGGAAGACAACATGTCCTTGATCAGGATTTTGAGACACAATGACACACGCATTTATTTCAGATCTTAAGGCCAAGATACATCTTTAATCTGGGCCACAGCTTCTGTTGGAAGCCTATATAAGGAAAATGGAAGAAGGAAGAGATCATTCATTCTTCTTTTCCTGATTGCCCTTGCCGTGCCAGCACATCTATTCCTTCACTGGCACTGGAACCTACTTCTTTGAGGGTCTAGTATTTACAAAGGACCAGCTGAGATACCCAGCATCATGGGACTGTGCAACTACTAGATTCTTGGACTTTCCATTCACAACTAGCCCATGTTGAATTAGTTAGACTGTAGTCAGTAAGTCATTCCAATAAAGTCCCTTTATGTGTAGATACATAGATAAGCAGACGGATATATATATATATGATATCATATATATATATGGATGGATAGGTTGATAGATAGATAGATAGATAGATAGATAGATAGATAGATAGATTCTTTCCATGAATTCTATGACTCTAGAGAACCCTGACTAATACAGATTTTGGTACCAGAGTGGTTCTACAAGAAGAGAAGTAGAAAGATGAATCTTCTAAGTATCTGAAATAGGTTAACATCTCCACAGGCACTCCATCTCCTGGGGAACTCAGAAAGTACTGAAAGCCCATAGTGTGAACTCTATCACAAACTTAAAAATATAAATGTTCTTGACTATCTAGATTAAACAATTGTGAGTGTCAAAGGATTTGGTGACCCTATGTATGAAACTTTGGACAGTTTGGGGAAAAATAAGATAAATGATGCTGCTGGCTGGTTGCTCTTTGCATCCCTGGATAAACTGATAAGAGAATAGGAATGAGCTCCATGATAAAATTAACCAATTTCAGAATACAGTGGAGGACAATGAATTTAAAGCTGACCTGCTCCAGATGTGAATAAATAGTCTAAAAGTTTCTAAGTGTGCCATGGAAAAGAATCTTCCTGCCAGTAGCCACAGAGTTCAAGTTGTGGGCAAACTGAATCTCTTATTACAAGGTTGCCTGAATTAGAGTCTGAATTCAAGTCTCAGTCTCAGAGGGTCAGCATAAAAAGTAAGGATGTCAATTGGTAAAGAATGGGATCCTATGTCTTGGGGTGGAGATGTGTGGGAGGACTCTACTGAAGCTGAAAACTTTGAACCCTCAGATTCTCAAGGGTTTATCTCACCTGAAGGAGTATACTCTCAACCCCACCCTTTC